AATCGCGCACAGTCGCATGCACGCGCAAACAGTCGACGGACGGTGGATGCTACTGACAAGGACAATTCGCCACCGATTGGGCACCAGCCGCGCGCTATTGCCGTCATATTTGCCACACGTCCAGTGGCGCCACTCCCACAAACATCAGATTGTCGGCCAGTATTTCGACCTCTTACTTGAAAATTTTCACATCTAACCCTAACCCTACCGCTAACCCTAACCCCTAACCCTAGCCCTACCCCTAACCCAAACCCCTAACCCTACCGCTAACCCAAACCCTAAGCAACCCTACACGCAACCGTATGACGATGATAGACACCCTTCGCAGCCCTACACACAACTGCATGATGATGATAGACACCCTACGCAGCCCTACGCGCAACTGTATGATGATAGGTAACCCTAGATGCAAGCCTACACGCACCCGGATGATGGTAGGTAAGTATGTCATTTGATTCGTGACTTTTTCCGCGACTTGTTTTGAGTTTGGCGAAGGGACATAACTCCCACTAAGCCGGCCAACGCCGTCTAGCTTGCCGGCCAAATCTGCTAGAAGAGCCAATTCTTCTTCGCAGTATTTTTTCACCGGCTCTACCCTTCTTACTCTTACAGTTACAGTTACTCTAAACTCCGGTAGAAAGTTTTGGTTGTTCGTCCATCTCTGGACTTCAGTCTTGTTCCATAACCCGAGTGTTGTGCGTGCATATTTGTTTTACAGATCTAGCTGATCTGCATGCAAACTGTTAGTGGTTCCTTGCCTCTCAGGCGAATGCACCCCGGTTTCAAAGAAAGCGCCAGTTAATTAAATGGAGGGGGCTGTCCTCCGAAAAACGGTCCCAAAAAATCGAGGTTAAGAAAATACCCTAACAGGGCCTCAGTCATAGGTAAATTGCGGATCTCTTTCTGGCGACTATAACGCATACCGCGAAAAAGCTTCCGCTGAGTTAAAGTCACCGCTAAGAGTTTCCCCCGCGCCGGTACGCGCGGCTCAGGGGGGGGGGGGGGGGCTAAACTAGATGGCTGGGACTCACGAGCAGCAGTTACCACATCTGCAACTTCCTCCATTTTATTTGCTTGTGAGTCCCAGCCATCTAGTTTAGCCTCCCTTTGCGCCACGCGTAGCAGCGCGGGGGATACTCTCGGTGGTGGTGGTATAGTCGCCGGTAAGAGGTCCACAGTTTACATATGAGACCCTGTTAGGGTATTTTCTTAGCCTTGGTAATTTGGGACCGTTATTCGTAGGATAGCCGGGGGGAGGGAGTAGGTCTATTCTTGTAGTACGTACGCAAGGAGTGGTCGCTTTAAAGAAAACATAGTTAATACTTTTTTTTGCCTGCAGATGGTTGGTGCCTTGCTTTTCAGGCAGATGCACTCTAACTTCAGAGGAAGCTCCCATTTAGTCAACTTACGATATTATTGTAGGAAAAACAGTGGGTTTGTTGTGGTTTTCCTCCACCATAGAGCCTTGGACAGTGGTTGTTTTCTTCCACAATAGGGCCTTGGACTGTTGTTGTTTTCTTCCACAATAAGGCTTTGCAACCCACACAGCGATTTTTGGAGTCTAATAATCCTGTTTTCTTCTTCATTGGCACTTTTCCATATTTTCAGACAATAATGTTATATTATGTTAACAAAGCAGCATGGGAATCGCAAGCCTGGCACGGATGAGTATAACCTATAAAACGTCTTCCACAATTAAAACATGGGATTTCAGGACTATTTTTGCCATAGCATGTATTTAATTTGCTTATTGCCTGGCTCTCTAGCGTAGTTGGCTAAACCGGATTGCGCGGTGACAGGGTGACAAACTCCTTGTGGTCTGGGTTCACTTCCAGGGGTAGGCAGAAAAGCCACATTTCTCCCAGATTTACGGTATTTACTATGGAATCAAGGGCGAAAGGTTGCAATATCCATAATACCGAGCCTAAGGGTTAACAACTCATAGCTTCTGGATACTAAAACAAACAAATAATTTGCTTATTATGTGTGGATACTTAGTCCTGCTGCACTCTCTACCTGATCCCACATCCCACATCCACTTTTTCATAAAGAGTAGCTCACCATCCAGAAGTGCAGCAGCAGCAGCCAGTCTGTCAGTCTGCTCACTGAATAATATTGCATTTGCAGAGAATTAATCTACTCACGGTTTTAATGCAGTGTTTCTATATAATATATCCCTATCTGTTAAGGATGAGAGAGTTTTTAATAGTTGTAGAGAGCCAATCCTGATGAGAAAGTGAATCATAGACACCCAGTAGATTCCTGGGATAGAAGTGGCAGAGGTCTGGTTCTATAGAGAAATGATTACATAGTGGACAGATAAACAACATCATATCCTGAAACAGAATGCATTCCTGTATGGATTCTTGGGCCCCAACGGATGGTGGATATGGGAGCAGTGGTCTCCCCCAAAAGCATGATGTGTAAGGCGACTAGCTAAGGGTTTGTTGAAATCCGATATAATGGTCTGAAACATTCAGATATTGCAACTATCCTCTAAGCCAGCAGTTCTCACCCTCTGGGTCGCGACGCTTTTGTGGGTTGAATGGCCCTTTCACAGGGGTCACCAGAGACCAACAGAAAACACATATTCACTGAAGTTATGAAGCAGCAACAACAAATAATTGTATGGTTGGGGGTCGTCACAAACATCAGGAACTGTATTAAAGGGTCGTCGCATTAGGAAGGTTGAGAACTACTGCTCTACCCCACTACACAGCCCATAAAGGAAAATCTGAACCCTTTGACTCCAGTAACCTAGAGAAAGCAAAGCCAAGTTCCCATAATTTTCAATTTAAGGATGTTAAAATTAAAAAATAAGAAATCGTTAAATTTTTTAAAAAAAACGTCACTAAACACAAGAATTGCACCAAAGCAGTTTATCCTTCAAAACATGAACACATACTATACATAATAAGGGAGGTAATCAGTAAAAACAAATGCAGCATAGAACCAACTAGCTTACATCTCTGGGGCCTGTAAATTAATTATAGTATGTCACTTACTTGACCCTGTGCCCTAGTAACCACTGTTACCAGTGGAAAAAAACATGACTCTAAAAATTTAGATAAATCAGTATATTTTTTGTTACAAATAGAACGCACCCAAATACTGTTTGTAGTCAATTTAATCATCTCCTGTCAAGTTGAACATTTGCACAGTCAGAGATGCAATAACTTCTGTTAACTACACATCTCATAATCGTCTCCATAGTGAGTCGGGAAAGCAGCTTTTACAGGGTAAATGGTACCAGCCAGAAGTGTTGATTCCATAGCTTCTTGGGGCAAAAGGTTACTACTGGCAGTCTCCCACATAAGTTACTACTGGACAAGGTGAACAATGTGTCTCGAATTAGTTACTACTGGACAAGGTGGCAAGTTTCTCGAATTAGTTATTACTGGACAAGGTGGCAAGTTTCTCGAATTAGTTATTACTGGACAAGGTGGCAAGTTTCTCGAATTAGTTATTACTGGACAAGGTGGCAAGTTTCTCGAATTAGTTATTACTGGACAAGGTGGCAAGTTTCTCGAATTAGTTATTACTGGACAAGGCAGCCAGTTTCTCGAATTAGTTACTACTGGACAAGGTAGCCAGTTTCTCTCATTAGTTACTACTGGACAAGGTAGCCAGTTTCCCGCATTAGTTACTACTGGACAAGGAAGCCAGTCTCCCGCATTAACTACTACTGGACAAGGTGGCCAGTCTCCCGCATTAACTACTACTGGACAAGGTAGCCAGTCTCCCACATTAGTTACTACTGGACAAGGTAGCCAGTCTCCCACATTAGTTACTACTGGACATGGTAGCCAGTCTTCCACATTAGTTACTACTGGACAAGGTAGCCAGTCTTCCACATTAGTTACTACTGGACAAGGTAGCCAGTCTTCCACATTAGTTACTACTGGACAAGGTAGCCAGTCTTCCACAATGATATTATTGAAGCTCATGAGCTTAAGGAGTGGGTGCTTCAGTCTTTCAGGTACCGGATCAGACTTTTATGTACATTTAATATCTGGTAATTTACTTGTAACTTCTGCAAGATCCCAAGTTTCTGGTTTTTAATTTGTTGCTCAAATACCACATAGAATAAAGACTGTACAGTTCCCACTGTGTGCATGGCAGACAGGACCACAGACACCTAATTACGTTCTACAGACCTGCCCACTGTACCTACAACTTCAAAAATAAACCTGGCCTGAAGAGCAAAGTGTGCAGAGCAAGCTATGGGAAACCAAGAAGGACCTGCAGCTGACATGCGAGTTCATAGCAACAACCCACCTGATGGTCTGACCTGAGCATATGAAAAGCAGAAGAAGATTTGTTGCTCAGGAATTCTTACTCTTTGTTTGTTTTTTTTCTTCCTTCCTGCCTTCCAGTGAGCTGTGGATTTTATAAATATTTCTATTCAAATGTTTGCTGGTAGAATACTTTCACCCTGAGAAGCTGCAAAACTGACACTTTCAGTTGGGTCCATTTCTCCCTAAATGTCATTTTTCTGACTTGTCTGTAATGACCTGTTTACGAGACACAAAATTAATGCTCTAGGCTGTTTTTCATGCCTTAGTTTAAGAGGTCAGTATATGAATACATTAATTAAAAACAGCATTAAGGGGAATTTTCCTTTGGGCCAAATAGCTTTTATAAGCTAAGTTAACGTCAGATTATCCTGTACGCCACAGTGATAAAGGTCATGGGGTCACGGCATTAGTTACCCATGCATTTTGTAAAAGACCACAGGGAATATATTCCATTTAATACTTCACCCTGTTCATGGTTATTGATTACTCCCTACATATAAATAAAAAATAGTAGTTGAATGTTGAGTTAAGAATCAACATCAGAGCACTCGGAATACTCCTTTATGCGCTCCATGCTGGCTTGCCATCCAGATTGAGATTTTTAAATCTTAGGATGATCAGCACTAGGGTAGCATCCCAGAAGGGTTAAAAAGTAATATATGGATGGCATTACATATTTACTGATTTTTGTTTCATTTTAGAATGTTGGACAGGGAGGAGGCGATGGAGAAGCTAGAAGATGAGGATGAAAACGGTGATGGAAAAGTGACCTTTGCAGAAATCTTGCAGAAGCAGTATGGATACACAGAGGAGGATCTGGCAGATGTACAGAAGGAAGAGGAAGAAGATGAAGGTGGTTCTAATGTGTTTCAGGTATTGACCATTTTTGCGCATCATATATTGGAGTTTAATACATTGTAGTAGACGCTCGTCTCGGCCAGGAAGGTTGTAGGTTCAGATCCGCCATCAGCACAAATGTTTTTCAAAAATGATCTTGGCGGCCAGGTTGACCTAGCCTAAAATGGATACCAGCTAAAGTCCTAGATAATAAAGGTGACCACATCACCCACCAAGTGCCGATTGATCTGTAAATACAGGTTTAGTACTGTGTGCCTAGTATGCCTAATGGTGTGGAAAAGGGTCTTTTACTTTACTTAATGCGGTGTTGTCAAGCATGAAAAATAATAACATGGTAGATAGAGATGGTAAAGATTCTGACAGTAAAAATAATGGAAATAATGACACCTTCAGTAAACTGCACAGTTTATTGTCTGGTATATTTCCCTGCATCTTGCCAGGTGCAGCACTATAGAGTTTACACCAATATTCTTAACAGTGCTATGTTAGCAGTGTCAAACATGGACACTGTCTTCAGAAGACAGAAGGAAAATATTCCAGACAGAAATGAAATGTTTACATACTATGCTAGATGTAACGTGGGAAGATCCAAAGATTTGAAGCAAGACTAAAGTCTTCAAGGGGGTGACAACCAGAACTTTCTGTTGGAGTTTACGCTAAACAATAAGAAGAAGATCAAAATTGTTGTTGGTTTTTTTCTTTCATTCTTTTGCATAGGAATATAAACATTTACCCTGTGCATTAATCGTGTATAAACTGTTCAGATGATTTCTGCTCTTATCAGCTCATAACAGATGACAAGAATCGTTTCACTGCTGCAGACGTCAACAAAGATGGTTTTCTGGCTGAGGAAGAATACATTGCATACTTCCAACCGTATGATTTCCCACATATGTATGAGGTAGAGATGGAAAGGGCCATGAAGGACCTAGATAAGGATGGTGATGGATTTATCTCCATCCAAGAATTTATTGGAGGTTTGTTTACTCGTATGTTTGTTTTCTTGACGCATTGTACACGTCATGGTGTAGCGGCTGACACCAATATAAAAAAATAACACATTATTTTTGGGGCTGAAATAATAGTGGAGGAGAGCTCTGCCTAACTGTGAAATAAAATTCTGCAAATTCAGTGGCTGTTTGCCATTTTGCGTTGAGAATTTCTGACACAGTATGACTGAATTAAGTAACTCAAAAAGCCACAAAAATGATCTTTTCCCAAACTATCCATTGCGAAATCGCACCCTGGGAAAACATCAAGGATTGCATTGTGAAACTACATTTTACTAAACTCTAAACCACAGAGCCATACTGTACACAGTCTACATTAACAGACACATCTGACAGCACACGCAAGCCAGTCTACACAAATTGATGCAACATAAAAGTTGACTGCCACTGCTGCTATGCGAAACTTCCTTTCAGTTTTGACATTAAAAAAAATAATTGGCAGTTTATAAGAGTTGTCACAGTCATCAAACTGTTCAGAAATGTCTTCCCTTCACTTTATGAGTTAAAAAACCAAGAAAATACCCCAAAGCGTCAGAAAAATTCCCCACATTTTTTGCACCATGCTGGCTTGACAATCGGCTGCTATAATCAAAACAGTCGCTTAAAGCGTCATTGACATGGGAGCTCGCTAAAAAATACTTTAAGCACTATAGTATTGTTTCTCTTAAAGAAACAGAAAAAAGAATGGACGTTTATTGCAAAAGTCCCGATTTTAACATGGCGGCGAGTGTCTAAAGTTACTAACGCAGAGGGTGGGGTCAGAGTAGCCAGGCGTAATTGTCGGCCTGTCGCATAACATGCGATTATGGTAGTCAGCGGGTTAAGACATGCTCTTGCGTGTTCGATTCAATATTAACAATGAGCATGTTCAACCAGGGCTGGAGCGACAAGCTCTTAGCCCCTTTTAGTTATATTGTGGTAATGTGTCAGGTTGCTATTTCATCATGTTTTGATTTGTGCTATCTTCTGCTGAATCAGCGGGTAGTGTTTTCTGTTTACTGATTTACTTCTGCTGGGTGGTCTGGCGCTGTCAGGATTTTCCTCGGGTTCGGCATGCTGGCTGGTCCGCAAAAATAGTGGCGTTTTTTGTATGCGTTTCTCATTGGCTGCAGTCTGGACTGTTTCCTGCTGGTGGGGGTTGCTATGGTTATGCTTGGTCTGGGGTTTAGGCGGGGGTTGTCTCCTGCTGTTTGGCACTGGTGGGGTTGCTGTGACCTTTTTGTGTGGTGATCTCAGATGGGGAGTAACTCTTGGATCAGGTGTCTGTCTGGGTACTTCAGCGTGTTCTGTTTTCCTGCTCTTTTATTCTAATTTGTTCCCTGTGTGGGTTTTGAGACTATATTTTGGTGAAAAACTCACTGGCTCCCCACCCTTTCCCCCATAACAAACATGTATTAAATGAGAGCTAATTAGGGGGTTTTTCCTTCGAAGTCAGAATGCATCTTCCAGAGTGGAGAGGAACCAAGTCTGCATATGCTTACATTCAATCAGGTGCCGTCTCCGCAGTGAATGTTGGCTGCAATGGATCTCCAACATGTCTTGTCTCTTGTTCTGGTTGTACACTTTCTTCGACTGCTGTCTGTCCATCTCTTGATGTTCTCCTCCCCTTGTATTGTAGCCTACCTCTTGCTCTCTTGCCTTCGACCTTTCCCTCCAGTATGGTTTTTTTTAAAAGTGTGTTATGTCTTTTAATGTGGCCAAAGTATTTCAATTGTCTCTTTTTTATTTCTTTCAGTCATTCTCTTTTCATTTGTAGCCTTTCCTGAACCTCTGTATTTTGCTGTTTTTGTTTCCATTAAATGCGACCTATTCCATATATGCAAGCAAAACTCAAGTTATGGAAGAAGACCAAAATCCAGAAGTGAAAAAACAACAATGATTTTCCTACAGAGTTTACAGCTTGTGAATATTAACTCTTTGAGTCCCAAAATACGCATCATAAGTTCATAGGTTCCTACCTAGAAGCCCAGTGAATGCATGATGCGCCAATTTCACGTCTCTTTTGACTACCCTTGGGCCTGTGATGCTAAACCCTCTGGGACTCAAAGAGTTAAGTGTAATAGAGACCCTCATTTGCGTGAAGCTTGCTTCTATTCTTGAATCCACTTTTTGTTTTATCTTGAACAGAAAACCTGGACGAAGAAACCCGACTATCTGAGATGACTAATTTTGAGGAGCTGGACAAGGATAAAGATGGCAAGTTAACTCCTGTAGAACTTCGGCCGTGGGCTCTACCGGACAACAGTGAAGCTGCGGACGAGGAGGTGGATCATTTGGTGACCTTGTGTGATGCAGATAAAGATGGACATCTGTCAATTGATGAAATTGTCGCTAAAGAAGATGAGTTTCTTCGAAGCACTGCAACCGATTATGGGCGCACGTTACATTTTGTTAAAGATGAACTTTAAATCCACATTTCTTGACATTTAATATGTGTATGCACAGTTTAATTTGTTATTACTGGTATGTGTTGAAAAAAACACAGAGGTATTTTTATTCTTTTTAACCCTATGGGAACTACTGGGCCGATCTGTTGGCCCAGCAACAAAATAATCAAAAAAGGGACGGCCAGGCCGATCTGTCGGCTCATAATATTAGCCTATAGATTGGCTGGCTGGTCATCATACCGGCCAGTCAGATTGCTCCTCGCATTTCTTGCACATGTGGGCTGTTGAATGGCGGCTTTTGTGAAAGTTTGTTGTGTTCTGTAAAAAAAAATTTTTTTTTTTCTTTTTTGGTATTACCAGTGCCCAATTATCGTGGTGTGGACTGTTGCGTTATAGCAACCAAAACATAGCAGAAGGCAGGAAAAGTAGTAGAACCATGTGCCAGAGGTATCTAAAGGGCCTCTACGGGCCTTGTTTTCCAAAATGCACACATGTTAGGACTTAATCAGGCTTTATTATGCAGTAGAATACATATTATATATTAGTAAGTTCCGTTATAACTTACTAAGAGAAATTAGATTGGAGTCAGTGACATGATTGCCGTCACGTCTTAATAGACTGGAGTCAGTAACATGATTGACATATACGATATACAACACCTTGTGTATCTTACTGGCCACCAAGTAGTAATTCAAATCAAAAGAGCACAAAACAAACTATAACTATAACTTATAAACTATAAGAATTCCATCTTTTTTACTTTTAATGATACCTATCCGTGTGTATATGTATGTATGTTATATATTTGAAAGCTACAGTAACATAATGGCAAGATGCTCACTTGGTGGCCTGAAGGTCTTGAGTTCATATCTGCATCAAAATGATTTGTTTCTGTCAAAACTGACCTTGGGTGTTAGGCCCAGCTAGCCTCAAATGGGTACCCGCTAGCATCCTGGGAAGTAAAGGCAGCTATCATGATGCTGATCACATCAACCCATGAATGATGATTGGTCTATAAAAATATGATACTAGCACCATTTTGTGTGTGTTAAATGTTTTACTTTATAGAGAGAGAGATGCAGTGACATAGCAATTAGTGTTGCTCCTTGCCGGTCCCTTGGTTTGTATTCAGTCAGTCCCTAAGAGATATATGATTATTTGTTCTCATCAGTGTAGTGCTGAGATAGACACAGCTTTAAAAATAAGTCCCAGACAATGGCTGATAAAGTATTTTAAGAGTTATGATTTACAAGTATATTTTTCAACTCAGATCATAAAAAGTATGTTTTACTCTTATGAAATAACTTACTTATTTGTTCACAAATTTTAACCATTTTGGCTTTATGCTCTAAGTGGCGCAGTCATGTAATTATATTGTTTTACATTTTGTCATGTCTTGTATGTGACCAAAAACGTGAAATAAAAACTTGGGCGAGTGGTTAATTACTGTTGTCTTTTAATTTTTCTGCAGTATGTGGTGTGAACATTGGCCGTGTCCGCCCACAGCCTTCTGTCTCATGTACTGTCATTTTTCTGCATTCACTTTTAAAATGTTAAAGGGTAGTTATTAGAATTAGTTGCATTTTAGAGATCGGTCCCAATATGCGACACAATTTTCATTTTTTTAAATTTTAAAGCCCCATCTCAGCTGTTGTTGGGGGCCCTAATATAACCGAATGGTTGAACAAGATTTCTGGGACTTGCACGTGGGTGTTTCTCATCCGAATGGTGGCACTTCATGTTATCAGTGAACGTCAGTCATTAGTTCTTTACAGGACGTTGCAGAACCAACCATAGCATTTTTTGGGCTGTGATTTCACTAGGAAGTGATTACATTTAGTAGTTTTACATTCAGCAGTTTGTCATTAATTCTGAATGGTCAGCTCTTGATACCACTGTTGAAACCAATCTGCTTCAGATCGCCTGCAGCTGGGATCAGAATCGACACATTAGAATGACGAAGCGTGATTGCAACACCAAAGCCACAGACGCTGGCGGGTGACACATTGTTAAAAGAGTGGATGGTACATTGTTGCTGCCAAATCTGTGCCTTTTGGCCCGACACATCTGATTTCGACACATTCCTAATTATTTGTTTTTTCTGACACACTTGTCGGGGGGGGGGGGGGGGGGGGCTGTGGGTCTGGTCTGTTTCCTCCAGCATGGACCTGTACAGGAAGCTGAATAACTTTTGATAAAGATGCTCCTCCATGTTTCAAATTAAATTGTTTAACATCCCCCCTCTCTCTCTCTCTTGGTTTCCAGTGTCTGTTTCCTTATAACTTTACTGTTTTTATGACATAATCCAACATTCCTCTTCTTGTGACATGCCCAAAGAATGTTGACTGCCTCTTCTGATGTGGTTTTGTTCTCTTTGTGAATTAATTTCTTTTGGGGTATCTTAATTTTTATTTTTTTTTCCAAATCTGTCCTTGGAGTTATAAAAACACATCTCTGCACATCATACATAAATTCCTACGAATCTGTTGACTGTGCATAATTTGCCTAAATACACCAGATCTGGCTCTATACATCTCTTAAAAACTATCACCTCAACTGGCGACTGTCTATGCCAAAGAATATACTTCATGCTGTGAAATGTTTCTTTTGCCTGGCAACTGGCCAAGTGATTATAGTGCTGGGAACCTGGTTTTGATCCTCTCTAAAGTTTTTGTGTGTGTGTGTGTGTGTTGGGGCAAAAATAACAATCCAAACCTGCACAGTTTGTGGTGACTGCACTAGCCTCAGGCTCACAATTGTTTTGTCCTACATCGCCCCAGAAGTGGTAAATACACCCAGTAGAGTTTTCCATATTGAACTTCTTAATACATCTTCTATCTAGTGTTTTCTTCTTCTTCGGGATCACCTGCTGTAAACTCTGGCAGAAAGTTCTGGTTGTTTCTGGACTTCAATCTTGTTCCAGAACCACCCTTTCCTGAAAGAAAAACTCCATCATCTTGTCATAGGTCTCCTGCAGGATGGGAGAGCCCGATGTTGTAACCACAAGGCAAGATCATAAACAAAAATGCTAAGGAAAGTTTTGTGCCAATAGGTAGTCCACTTGTCCCTGCCTCTCTTTACTTTCCCTAAATACCTAAATGTGACCTCTGTTTAGGCCATAAAATGACTTTGTCCTGTTTGAACCTATGGCTCACATGTCAACCCAGCCTAACAGGGTACCAGGAAATGTCGTAGGAAATAAAAGGCCCCCACAGCACCCCTTCCCTGACCCAGTATGTCATAAAAGGCGACGAATTAGACATTTGCTAAAACTGAATGTATTGGGCTAAAAAAAATCACAGAAAGGGCAGCCTAGCTGTAAATCACACCATGTGCCAACCACCATTCTAAAGTTAAATGAAGAAGAAGAACAAATGTAAATACGACCTAGTTAAGAGCCCATGTTACACTGAGGGATGACAGAAAGAGGAAGAAACATTTCATACATGTCAAAAATACAATTATCATTTCAATAATTCTTTTTATTATTTATGAAACTAAACAAAAGGTATGTTTTGTAAACAAAAATTTGCTCTTATATCCACACCATAATTACGAGAGATTTTACTGAATGAAACAGCAAAAAAGCTACATGCACAAGGAAATGATTACAGGAACACTTGAAATGAACAGGTACAACTTTCTGGGAAAGAAAGGTTATAAAGAAAACGCCACCACATGTCACTATGCTGTGATGTGCAGGTCACAAAATGATTACAGAAACATTTTCCCCACAAGTGTGCAGCTTAATCATTGAACGTTCCTTTATCCTAGCACCAAATCTTGAGCTGTATGCATCACCTCCTGTACTTTTGTAGCACTTTCTGAAAATGACATGAAATAACAGCAGTTATCCTAGGAATAAAGCCAGTCTTACAGGTCATCAAAGAACAACAAATGAAGTGATTTGGACACCTAACAAGAATGCCCTGGTACTATCCGCCACAGCGAGCCATACTAAAATGTTACAACGGGTATAGAGCGATTGGAAGACCTCGGAAAAGATGAAGTGATGGCATTAAGAACAGCCTTACAGAAATGAACATCAGTCTTAATAGTGCTCTTGACAGAGCCCATCAACGAACATTACATCTCCCCCTGACACTTCGATGAGGTACAAGGTGGAAGAGAAGAAGAAGAAGATCACAGAACTGTTCAATTTGTGTAATGTAAGCTACAAGTAATCATAATAGATGGCAAATTATGTCGTAGGTTAAGCAGGTAGCAGGTAAAGTCCTTGGAAGTAAAGGCAGCCGGCATGTTACTGACCACATTACCTACAGAGTGCCCATTTTTCTATAAAGAATATTCGCTATCACATGCAACTCTTGTATAAATTTCACTGTCGTTAGTTCATTCAGTGGTCCATAGAGTTTACGTTCCACTGTTGTTCTTTCTGGCCAAAAGATTCTATCCTACCATTTAATTCCCTCTACTTCTGCCCAGGCACCAGTTAATGAATGTTTGTAGTTTATTAGTAATTGCCTTAGTTGTTCTCCATGTTTCTGCTCCATACAACAATACTGATCTGACATTAGAATTACACATTTTTAATTTAGTGTTAGTTTTAATTTCTTTTGACCTCCACAAATTCCAGAGTGCCTTAGTGCAAATTCCTTTATTAGTCACTGTTAAAGACAGAAGGTCCACTATTTTTGTCTCCCCTAGAAATGGGGCCCTTTAAACTCCACAGTGAACGGTGATTCAATTTAGGGCTATAAATGGAGTCAGCAGACAACTGACCAAGTGCAATGCTAGTTCATTCCCAGCCAACCCACAAATGAGAAGACAGGTTACCTCCTAACTGTCAGGTGCTTCAATATAGCTTTTTTTCTGAACAAGCTTTACTGGACGTATCAAAATAGTGGCTCTTTGAGTCACTAGGTGACCGTCTTTCAGACTGCAATTTCCATGGGGAGAAATGAAACAAAAAAAACACACAAGGTTTCAAATGTTGCTAGAATGATGACTACACTTACCTTGGCAACTGCTCTGATATGCTCCCCTTTAGTCAACTTTGAACGACAGTTTCTGGCTTCTATGTTTGCCTCTTTCAGCAGGGAGCGCAGAAAAAAGTTGTAATGAACCAGCAGCTGAAGGAATTTAAAAAAAAACAAACAAAGGATATAAATATAACAGCAATTGGCTTTAATCACATTATCATATTATCGAAGCCTCTTGTTTTGGAGTGCGATTTCCGTGTCATCGTCACTTGCTTCTACAACTCCACTTGCTGCTCCATGCACTGTTATGCTGTGCTGTACTTTGGTTAATATCAATAAGGAAATTCCTTCTTGGTCTGGTTTATTACAGTTAATACGTACAGTCTGGCCAGGTGCCTCACTGGAAATAACTAGTCATTCAGGCCTTCTCATTTGCAATTAACCTTAGGCAAGTGCACTGACAGTCAAAACATCAGATATTATGACCAATAGTTAAGACGGAAACCATACTAAAACTATCTATACCAAAGGTAAAGGTAAAGTCGGGAGATGTGAATCGGTGTCACTGCACACAGTTATAAACCATAAGTGCTCTGCCACCAGTACAGACAGCTGATAAGAAACTGTCCACCTGTGTCGCCGTCCACACGCAACTCCATAGCTACAGCGACGTTTCTCCATTTACCCCAGAATGTTAACCGCCCAGTTTCGAACATCGGCCGTGGGCTGTAGCGAGTTGCAGCTGCATTTAAAAATGAGTCTCCTATCGACTGCGCTAACACGGCCCCCAAACTATCTATACTGATTGTATTTAACGCTTTTTAGTGTGGTATATTGCATAGGGGTCATCCTCCATTGCAATAAAACCTTCAAAAACTATTCCTTTAAATTCGGCCCTTGGTTAGGGACTCTCCAATGGGAGCTAAAACAACAAACCCTTGGGTTGTGACAAATCCAGCTTTCTTGAAACACTTTTGTATCCTTTCTGACAGAATCCCCCGCCCCCGTGTGGGTTCCGGGACCCTATTATAAGGAAAACAAGAATAGACCCACTGCCTACCCAAAAGCATGTCGTAAGAGTCGAAAAATTGGGAGCTTCCTTCTAAGTCGGTGTGCATCTGCCTGAGAGGCAAGGAACCAGCAGTCTGCATACAAATGAGTCAGATCTGTAAAACTGACACACGCAAAACTCAGGTTCTGGAACAGGACTGCAGTCCAGACGTGGACGAACAACCAGAACTTTCCGCCGGAGTTTACAGCTGGTGAACGCGAAGAAGAAGAAGAAGACAGAACTTTATTCTAAGCAGACCAGATTCAGAGGACAGCCTCCTTAGGGTTAATTGAGGGATGAAGCAGATCGAGCTGCTTTCACAAACAGACCAGAGATGTGTCGTTTAGTAATGACCCTCTGCAACAGCTGGGCCCGATAGTGTATTTTAAACATTTAATAATGCCTTAGCCAAGAGGTTGGTTTTTGAGGTCATGTTTGCTGGCAGAAATTTCAATGTCAGAAGGTGAAATGATCCACTTGTGGGTAACCATGACATTTATCTACTGCCAGTCTCTTCTTTGTTTAATATGAAGTACTTACAGTACCAAGTGGGATTCTGAACATTCAGGTCATTGCCAATTGCTGCTTCTATTATACCACTTTTGTGGTGTAGGCAGGAGGGTCTTTGAGGATTTACGGCCGCATGGCTAGTGCTGTCGCCACAACTGTGCAGGTGAGAATTTTCTTTTGCCCCCGACAGAAAATACCCCTGTCTTAGCGAGGAATCGAACCTAGGTCTCCAGCTTGAGAGCCCAGGGTTCTAACCATTCAGCCACCCGCTCCTCACATCCAGGACACAAGGAGGAAATGCATACTACCACCTTGACAGAACAGAACAAGTAATGATCCTTAGACTCTGTACAGGTCACAACCGGCTGAAACACCACTTTTTCAATAAGCAAAAGATAGGAGACAATGATGACTGTAACTGTGGAGACAGAAACATGACGGCTAAACACTTGCTGCAAAAGTGCTCAAAATATGCAGAACAAAGAACCTTATTCTCGTTCCTTTTGAAGACAAACTCTGTGGAGATTTCAACAACCTTAAGTTGACTGCTGATTTCATTTCAAAATATTCAGATTGCCACCTGAAGGTGTAAGAAGAATAAAAACTGTCATGGGAGCTTGTAGTCCCTAGAGATGCAGAGTTCAGAAACTGTGATGTGGAAAAGGATTGGGGGGGGGGGGGGGGTAGAATAGACCCAACTGTTCACATACATATTATATATTCTGCATGTTGAACTTAGCCTGTTTAAATGGTCTTGCAGTCTACTCCCCTCATGATCGGCTGCGAGTAGTGGCAAATATCTATATATACTGGAATAAAAGCTTGAAAAAATACTTTTGCTTTAGGTCAATTCACTGGCTTTACACCACAGTCTGAATCATTTCAGCTCAAGCCCTGTCAATACAATGTGTTATGGATGGATTGGTTTCATGGTTCATCTATTCACCTGTGGGGGACTTAGACTAGATTCATATCAAATCATAACAAGGAGAAAACTAAAGTACTAAAGTGCATCATGGTATCAGGAAAGCGTGAAAGGCAGAGGGAAGCCCCAGAGAGAAGATGCTGGACAGTTTGACATCTGTTATTGTTTTGATTATATTAATGTAAATGATGAGACTTTTTTTTTTCTTCTTCTTTCGTTCGCTTGAAATAGATGATATGATATATATCTGCAATGTTGTCTCACTGTCATTTGTAATTCACTCAGCGAACTGTAGTTTGGCTTGTTTGATTTATGTATGTGCTGACGATGGCTCTAAAGCCGCAACGTTCACCTTTTGTATGAGTTTGTTATCTTGTGAAACTCGCTGATATATTTTTCGTTCGGTTTTATATCTTTCCGTAAGTTTGGCTTGCGTCGGTGTTCAGTAATATTAATAATATTAATAAATAATACTAATACTATTAAATTTAATATTCTATTATTAATAGTAACAACTTTAAAAAAAAAATTTACCAGAGACATGACAGCGCCTTTTGTTATCTTAACATGCTGCATCGTATCAAACGATCGTTTCTTTACTTTTGAACGGTTATAGTGAGAGAATACAACAGTCATATTTCTAGAAAATGTAGCAGCTGCCTCTAAGGTGTTCGAAGCACACTCAATCTCAATGTTAAGTTTTGAATTGTTTATCAGGAAAGAACAGAGAGCTCTTCCTAATATAAGATGAGAATTGTGGCAGGTGCCGAGCAGGGCTGCCGAAATATTTGTGAAAATAGTACCAAATTGTTTTCTAAAAACGTACACTAAAAGGTAACAAATTTATAAAATGCAATTTAAAAAAAAATGTTAAAACATTATAAAACTCACACACACTCATATTTATATGGAAAATAGCTTACGTTATATTTGATTAGAATTAAACTTCTAAACTTCTTTGTCTATTATATTTTTATTGAACAATTTCATTACTCCCTTCCGCAGCTCAGTTTCTCACAAAGACAATTGCTCAGTAGAGGAATGAGACAATACTAAAAGACTAAGCAGTCATTTTGATACTAATAAAATTCGATTTTCATCTCTATATTTTTCTTCAGAAATTCTGAACCATAATTTTTCTGGTGTTTTTCAGCATTAGGTAGTTGATGTTGCACAATTATCTCCACAACATCTCATTTTTTTTTAATATTCTTTTTTTTAAATAAAACAAGGATGGGAAATTTCTGACCAATGGCATAATTAACGTTGATCTTTCTTTAAGTTGCACTTATTAGATCCAGCATAAAATATCAAATTGTAAAAAAAAAAAAAAATTTCAATAGAGGGCCCATTCCTGATAGTCGCACTGCCAGCCATAGCGTCTGCTCTCTCATTGCTTTTCACAACAACATAACTTGGAGAAAAATAAAAGTGATTTTGTAAACTGCTGCGGACTGAATCAGATGGAGCCACTGTTTCCGTATGTACCCCGCCTTGATCTTTTTAAGCATGCTCATTGATTAGATAAAAATCTACTACCATTGTATAAAGTGCATACACGTGTGTAGACCCAATCACGGCGGGGTCGAGCAGTAGCTAAAGTCGGACGTGACCCGATATATTTTGGAAAATAAGTGCGTTTTTTATTTTGGGAAATACAGTAATTTAAATACGATACATTCCCGACCTGCCAGACATGGTCACTAAATACAAGATTGCCCAAGTGAGGACGTACATGTGTGTCGCTGCTGAGATTTTCTTCTTCTGCGTTCAACGGCTGTAAGCTCCGGCGGAAATTCCTGGTTGTTCGTCCATTTAGACTTTGCACTAGGGCCTGAGTTTTGCGTGCACATCTGTTTTACTGGCTTATTTGTGTGCAGCTGGTGGTTTCTTGCCACTCGGGCAGATGCACTCTGACTTCGAAGAAAGCTCACAATTATTCGACTCTTACAAGCTTGTTGGGGAGCCATTGGGCCTCTTCCTGCCCTCCCCCCCCCATAATGGGGCCCCAGAACCCACACGAGAAGCTCGTGAGATAAAACACCCACTGCACAGCTGCCTACCGCTATATAAAGGTAAGCGCGCATAGAGAGAACGGTTCTGGATGACGGAAACAGGAGAAGAAGCTTCAACCTTTCCAAAAATTCTTGCAGCTTTAAGGCAACTATCTTCTCCAAGACCTTCCCAAATGTGTTTTGTAAGGTGATGATTCTAAAGCCACCGAGCTTTGAATGATCCTTAAAAGGTTTTGGTAGTGGTATTGGCTTGCTACATACATCCAGTTTTAACATATTTCTGTGAATCCTGGACAATCGGTAGGCAGGCCAAACAATTGAATGCTTAGAATACCTTGGACAGCCAGAAAGAGCAACCAAAAGGTTTTGAAAGAGGCGGGAGCCCGTAGACAACTTATCACAGACATCAAAAGGAGACAGTTATCATTTTTCGGCCATGTTATGAGAAGAGGGAAAATAGAACATGTTGTGACCACTGGAAAGATCTGTGGAAGGAGGGATAGAGGAAGACAACGAGAGAAGATTCTTGACAGTCTTGTTGCGTGGCATGGAGGTGTGTCGGCACACGAATTGATACATTCTGCAGGAGATCGTGGATTATGGAGAGGCATGATCGTCCACGCCAGTCGGTAAGGCACCTGATGATGATGATTAGTGGGATTGGATAGCTGTGCACCCAGTCCTGCGGTACTGATACTGTCCTAATGCTCTGGTTAAAACAGTCTGCCATCCCTGCCATGTCTACATCGCTCAAAGCCTTCGTGTGTCTATACCTGACCTCATCAGGCCCTAGTGCAGAAAGACCAGGCAGGGGCACTGTTCGGAGCCGAGGCAAATTTTTTTGCTTCTGCCGGACGGTGGCTGATGCAATTTTGCTCCATTTGTAGACTGGATATAGTTTCGTCGCCCAGCTTCTGAGTTGAATGCATGGCGTGACACTGTGAGCTGCGGATTTCATTTGGAATGTGTTTTCGACTGTGACCAACGTGGTGTGAATTGTAGATTCAGAAAATGGCACGATGCCTGTCGTGCAATGTTGGTGGTGCCCGTATTAAAATTGATCGCGTGGGCAACTGCTGATCTGATGGGGACTTCTGTTACCATCAATGATAAACTGCATTTCTAATGTCGAACTGTTTGTGTTAGCACTTCGAATGGCTACCGTATGCTTTAATGCGAGTGTGTGCTAGATATGCTGGGACAGCAGTCCGTCAATCTTTCCACAAGGGATTGTGATAAACATTCTGTGTGTTTTTCGTTGGCACAGGAGCGGAGCAAAGATAGGATGAACCGTTTGCTATGAAGTTGAAACTAAGATTACAAGACTACCTAGTGCAGTGTCTTTTGCCTTTTTCAAAATATGTTTGATATCTTCTACTCGTATCATGTCTTCATAATGCATATTCTTTAAGGTGCCAGCTAGCTCCTTTCTAACTGCATCCCTGATGTCTACATCATTATTATCTGTCTGAGCTATAAACCTATGGAGAAAAGCCTCCCCTTACTCCTTGTCTGTTGTCATACGCACACCATCGTCTCTACAAATTGTTCCCACTGTCATAGGCCGATCTTCTCTTTGCAGCTTCCAGAATTTCCCCAATATACAAAAAACGCTGGGTTGGGGATGGTCGCCCAAGCTTTACCCATGCCATGGTTTGCTGTGGTATTGGTTGTGAGCTGATGAGCTGTGGTTATGGTAGGATACAACTAGATGACTTCATGTAGAGTAAGAATGAACAATTATGGCAAAATGGATTGTGTCATGTCATAGTGTTAGGTGCCGGTGGTTCAGTGAGGGTTCGAGTTTTCATGTCAGCTACTACTTTTAGGGGTCACTGCATATGGTGCTATGACTTTATATAGAGGATTTTGGCAAATGAGCAGGTGTCGTGTCCATATGTTAGGTGCTGGTGAACTGGTGAGGGGTCCATTTGTTATATCAGCTACTTACATGAAAGGGTTATGGGCCATTGCATATGGTGCTATGACATCCAGAAGCACACATGAACAGTTTATTTTAGGTAAATGAGGTTTTAGGTGCTAGTGGCTCAGCAAGGGGAGGGGGGGGGGGGGGTAGTCATGTCGTCATTTCATCTAGTTACACGAGGGTTTTAGGGGTCACTGCCTATGGTGATCTGACTTTACACAGAGTAAAAAAAAAGAAAAGTTATGACAAAGAGAGTTGGTGTCATATTAGACATGGGAGCTCAGTAAGCAAGCATGTAATGTGTCGGCTAGTTAAAATGTGGGGTATTAGGGCCCCTGTGGCATATGGTGCTATGACTTTTTATATAGCAAAATAGGAAAAGTGAGTTGGTGTCATGTTACAATGTTAGATGCTGATGTTTAATGAGAGGGTTAAGTCCTCATGTAAACTATTTCAAGGAGGGGTTTATGAGAAAAGAACACCATTAGTCACACAAGGTAGCATGCAGCTATGTCACTGGTCTTTGTATGTGGTTCACCGAAGTTCCTTGGTAAGTCACTCAGTGTACTTCTCTAGCTGGTCACTGGTTTTGGTAAGGCATTCGCTGAGGTTTCTTGGCTAAGTCAGCCACTACCCTTGGTACACCTTAAATACCTCCAGGTACTTCACAAGTCTTTCGTAGGTCTTAGCAAATCAATCACTGAAGATTCCCGGTAAGCCAACCACTATCACAGGGATGTCAGAAGTCACTCAATGTCTTTCTTCACTGGACACCTCAAGTCACTAAACAACTTCTGAGAGGACAGGTAAGTAAAAACTGTATTGGGGAGAAAGCACACAATGTAACAATGGTCTGAGAGATAAGAAAAATAAATGCTTTTGAGAGAATGAGTAAAGTAACAACTTCTGAGCGAACAAATAACTGGTTCTAAGAGAATAAGTAAAAAAAACTATTTCTGAGAGAATGAGTAAAGTAACAACTTCTGAGAGATAAGAAAAATTAATGCTTCTGAGAGAATGAGTAAAGTAACAACTTTTGAAAGATAAGAAAAATAAATAAATTCTGAGAGAAAGAGTAAAGTAACAACTTTTGAGAGAATAAATAACTGCTTCTAAGAGAATAAGTGAAATAACTGTTTCTAAGAGAATGAGTAAAGTAACAACTTCTGAGAGACAAGAAAAATAAGTGCTTCTGAGAGAATGAGTAAAGTAACAACTTTTGAAAGATAAGGAAAATAAATAAATTCTGAGAGAAAGAGTAAAGTAACAACTTCTGAGAGAACAAATAACTGATTCTAAGAGAATAAGTGTAATAACTGTTTCTGAGAGAATGACTAAAGTAAAAATTGAAATAACTGTTTCTGAGAGAATGAGTAAAGTAACAACTTCTGACAGATAAGAAAAATAAACGTTTCTGAAAGAATGAGTAAAGTAACAGCTTCTGAGAGAACAAATAACTGATTCTAAGAGAATAAGTGAAAAAACTGTTTCTGAGAGAATGAGTTAACTGCAGCTGAATCAGTAAAGTAAGAACTGCTTTCAGAGAGAACAAAAAAAAAAAAAAAAATGCTTCTGGCACAACCAGCTATTATGCTGGTACTTATTAAGCTGCAAAAGATAGCCATGTCTGCTGTGACATGTCCTCAAAAATTGTTGTTAAATTTCACTGGTCCTATGTACACTTAACAATGTTTAACAGGCCAGAGAATGAACACAGAAACTAATTACACCATTTGAGTGGGAGTCCTTATGACTCAGTGGCCTTTCTAAAGCCATCTTGATGTCAAATTTTGGTACTTAATTTATAACTTACCCCTGACGTCACGACAACGTCACGGGAGACATTCCCAATAAATTCTAGGGTGTTCAGGTTGTAGTTTCTCTCGATTTATCTACAGCAAAGTTTAGGGTTATGGTTAGGGTGAGGGTTTGGGTTAGGGTTAGGATTAGAAGACACTAGATGAACACTCAAAAAAAAAAAAAAAAAACAGCACACTTCCACCCCTTTAAATAATGGACTGTCAGGTCAGCTGTGGATTTCCCACGGGGATTTCGTGTTTGGGGTACGTTATAAATTAAGAACCCAAATTTTCCCATACACCTTGGTGATAGAGATGACAGTCACAACATGTGTCACCCACTTCATATTTGTTTTGGTTTTTTATGACCCTGGAAATATATTCTATTTAATGCTTCAATCTGTTCAGGTTTATTGATTACCTCTTCATATATTCTGATTTTAAAAAAAATGTTTAGATAAATGAATATTTAATGGTGATCTCAAGAGAGAAGAAACACCAGATCATAATGGGACAGTATGCACTGGAGCAGGTCAACCATTTCAAATACCTTGGAGTTGTAATAGACCAAAGTGGAGGCATTAAGACTGAGCTGGCTACTGGAAAAGCAGCTGCTGGGCGACTCTTCCAACGGCAATGAACCAAGGTTTTTTTTAGCAAAAGAGAAATTGGTTGTTTACCGCTCTACCTAGGTGCCAGTCCTTACCTATGGGCGTGAGTCATGGGCAATGACAACAGCTCACAGAAGCCAGCTTCAGGCCTCAGAAATTAGATATCTGAGAAAGGTGGCCCAAGTCTTGTTTTATTTTTTTTTAGTGTTCACCAGCTATAAACTCTGGTGGAAAGTTCTAGTTGCTCATCCACTTCTCAACTGCATTCGTGTTCTGAAACCTGAGTGTTGCACGTGCATCCGTTTTACAGATCTGACTCATTTGTATGCAGTCTGCTGGTTCCTTGCCTCTCAGGCAGATGGACTCTGACTTTGAAGGAAGCTCCCAATTAGTCGACTCTTACGACAAGCTTTTGGGTAGGCTGTGGGTCTATTCTTGTTTCCCTCACAATAGGGCCCCAGAACTCACACGGGGAGGTGGTGCTCCAAGTGACAAGAAGGGACAAAGTCTGCAATCGGACAATACGTCAAGATCTTGATACCCAGTGGATAAGTCACAGTTACGATGTTTTGGACATGTATGCAAAAAGGGAGAAAATCAGCCACCATGACAGGCATGGGGGATTAAAAACCAGGGAGCAAGACAACATCTGACAGTTCCTAACTGACAGAGGACTGGAATGGAACAAAGCCAGAAAGAAAATTGCTGATAGAGAAGTCTGACGATATCTCTGGCAAACCTCTACACCCCAAGGTAAAAAAGGAGTGACCAAGTGAGTAAGAATTTTAAAAACATTTGTTAGCGACATATGTAATATAGTTTTAAACCCCCCCCCCCCCCCCCCCCAGCAAGCACAAGGTCACCAATTCATAATGTAAGACACTCACCACATGTCGTCAAATCATCATTCTTCTTTAAACTGCTACTGAATAAATATCATATACGAAATTTATCAAACAATTTCTTTCATACCACCACTTGTAAAAAAAAAAAAAAACGTATTTTCTGTTCTCCCTACCCTAAATAATTTTGATGACATGACATATACATGTAATAAAGACAATGTGAAATATATACTTGAAATGCCAGCCAATTTATTTCTATTCTTCTCTCTTGAGAAACATACTGATAATTTATATATGCTGCTTACATACTGGTTTTTATTGCAAAACAATTTATACAGCAGCCATGATCAGGGACAAAAAAAAAAAAAAAAAAAAACAGGGAGGAGGAGGTAAACTCATCATCTGTGCTTTCTCCTGTTCTTGATGTCCTTTTCTTTATAGAAATCATTCTTTTTATTCATGCCCATGATCTCCCGTCTCTGCACACGACGTTTCTTTGGATGAAAAAATAATCAACAATGTAAGCACAATATGCATAAGGAAAGTCCGTCTCTTAGTCAATCAAAACTGCATGGATAATTTGTGTGTAGTACTTTTTGGCTGAAAGAGTCAACTAGGGACTCTTCCCACCTATTTTGTGTAGACACTTTCCAACCTATTTTGTGTAAACACTTTCCTGCCTATTTTGTGCGGACACTTTCCCACCTATTTTGTGCAGACACTTTACCAAATATTTTGTGAGGATGTTTTTCACTTTTTGTTTGGACACTTTCCACCCTATTTTGTGCAGATCCTTCAAGCACCTTTTTGTGTGGAGATTTCCTGCCTATTTTGTGTGGACCTTTCCTTTTCCGCCTATTTTGTAGACACAATCCCACCTATTTTGTGATTTTGTGCAAATCATTTCCACATCTTGTGTTTAAAAAAACAAACAGTAAAGGTCCTTTTCCCACGTCTTTGGGCGTATAGGGTATACAGGGCTAGAACTATATTTATTTTATAGACGATTCGGCACAAGATGGGTGATGTGGTCAGCACCAAACTGACCGCCTTTACTTCCCGGGACTGCAGCCGGTACCCACTCAAGGCTGAATCGACCTGGGAGACAAGGTTAAGAAAAAAAAGTCAGGCTCCACCAAGGAGGAAACCCACAACCTTCCGATCCACACGCAATCTTTCAGCTGCTGCGCCGCGGCGACCCACAAACCTTTTGTGCGTATCACTTTTCACACCTTCTGTGCATGAAGCATATGGTGCTAGGCTCACATTTTTTATGCACCAATCACTTTTCACACCTTCTGTGCATGAAGCGTATGGTTCTAGGCTCATATTTTTATAAACGAATCACTTTTCACACCTGCTGTGCATGAAGCGTATGGTGCTAGGCTCACATTTTTATGCACCAATCAGTTTTCACACCTGCTGTACATGAAGCGTATGGTTCTAGGCTCATACTTTTATGCACCAATCAGTTTTCACACCTTCTGTGCATGAAGCATATGGTGCTAGGCTCACATTTTTATGAACGAATCACTTTTCACACCTTCTGTGCATGAAGCGTATGGTGCTAGGCTCACATTTTTATGCACCAATCACTTTTCACACCTTCTGTGCATGAAGCGTATGGTGCTAGGCTCACATTTCTTATGCACCAATCCCTTTTCACACCTTCTGTGCATGAAACGTATGGTGCTAGGCTCACATTTTTTATGCTCTAATCACTTTTCACACCTTCTGGGCATGAAGCGTATGGTGCTGGGCTCACATTTTTATGCACCAATCAGATTTAAATGGATGATGTGGTTTACAGTGTAACAGCTGGATTATCTTTTTAAGTTGTAACTTTAGGGAGCTCTTCAGGGCTCCATTTTTGGAAACAATAGGAACAGACCCACCATGCTTTAATAAGCGTGTGGTAAAACATGACTAATGTAGGATTTGTTTTAAATCAGACATGAGCAGAAAGGTGCAGACATCACCGCAAAGCTGCTTTTCAAAAATTAGAAAAGTTACCAAAAGAATACTGATAGCAAGTGATTCCAGCTCTGGAGATTATCATATACAAAGGAAGTGATCTTTCACAGATACCAGAACCTTTTAGTGAATTCTTTGTTTAGGAGACCCCACCCCCCCCCCCACCAAAAAAAAAAAAAGAACAGGGTATAAGAATCTATGTGGCCATAAAAGATAGTTTAATAGCAGCAAATTAAACAAGTTCCAGTGGATCAAGAGGTGAAGAAAAGATGCTGGCATTAGATAAGACAAACACTGAAAAGTAAAGTAAAGATCCTTTCTGGTGGCGCATTGGGCATATGAAAAGAGCACCTCTATTTTTACAGACCAATCGTCACTAGGTGGGTAATGTGGTTAGCATTACGCCGGCCGTCTTTACTTCCCCAGGACATCCATCCTGGTAACCATGTTAGGCTGGGTCGACCTGTGATGCCCTATACCATGATAAAAATCCACACAGCCAGCAGTGGGTTTTGATCACGGTATGTTGGAATTACGAGTCGGACTCACAACGCCTAAGCCATGGATGCCGCTAACATTGAGAAAACCTGAGAACAATATAACTAGAATGTTTTTTCACTGAAATCCACAGGGGTGTAATAAAGAAAGACATCCCCAGCCCCCTCCCAAAACATTGAGAAAACCTGAGAACAATATAACTAGAATGTTTTTTCACTGAAACCCACAGGGGTGTAATAAAGAAAGACATCCCCAGCCCCCTCCCAAAACATTGAGAAAACCTGAGAACAATATAACTAGAATGTTTTTTCACTGAAATCCACAGGGGTGTAATAAAGAAAGACATCCCTAGCCCCCTCCCAAAACATTGAGAAAACCTGAGAACAATATAACTAGAATGTTTTTTCACTGAAACCCACAGGGGTGTAATAAAGAAAGACATCCCCAGCCCCCTCCCAAAACAATGGAAAAGGGAGCTAGAGAGTTCAGTTAAAAAAAAGATGAGTAGGACATGGGAAAAGCTGCATACGATAGTGAAGGATAGAACTTGGTGTGAGGTGAATGTAAGCCAATGCCCCACTGGGGGGGGGGGGGGGGGGGGGGGGGGGGGGGGGGGGGGGGGGGGGACAGAAAGTAGAAGTTCACAAGACTCCTTACCCACATAGGACTACAGGTTACATCTCGCTGGTGTATAGCAATTATGGGCGATCACTTAAAGCTTCACTGGAGGCTGAATGGGGTATGCGGGAATCGCCTTGCCGGCCTGTCATCCAGATTTGGTAATTTCTGGGTGTCAAACCATTATTCAGCAGCTCAGAAGGGACATCCGAAAGGAAGGAAGTTGTTTTCATTAATGACAAACTATAAATAATATTTAGCAGTAAAACATTATGTGAAAATGAGAATTACCGCCAATCCTGTCAATCTTGGGCTCTCTCCATCAATCTCTGCATCTTGTTCTCTAGTTTTCTGTCTCCGTTTGGCAGATGATCCACTAGCCGCACCTTTCTGGTTGGCTACAAATGCACCTAAATTGTAAATGAAAGGGAGACAAATATTTAGAGAGATGTTTCCAAATGGAGGTGTCAAGTGTGAGGCCTGCACACATACTAGGTCATGGTTTAATAAGGTGTGGTGATGGACATTTCCCCTCAAGACATTTCTGAGGTTTCCATTATTTATATATATGCACACAAATACACATACATACCACATCAAGATAAATTGTAGATTGGAAAGAACAGAAGCATACGAAATAGGGGCTGGAGCCGACCATCATGAAGATAAGCACAGGATATAAGTTATTCATTGGGTAGAAGGGTGCCCATCTTATCTCACAGCAACTAATTCCAAACTTAAAACACATAGCCAGCACAAGCACAATGGCAGATAAGAAACAATAATAGCAGAAGGCACGGTACCAGGAAGGAGAGTCAGGGCCCAACTAACACAAAGATAAGCACACGATATATAAGTGACTCCTTAAATATGAAAGTACATGAGGCGGGAGAGCTGGCGAGAGACCAAGTTTCTTTCAGGCAGACTGTGATGACAGCGACATCCTGCATATATTTAGTGGTTTAATAGGAAGAGGATAAAAGTAACAGGGTGAAGACTAACAAAAATAAGCTCTACTCACTTTTCTTAAAGCAGCTGGTTACTGTAGGAGTGGTTTCTAGGTCACTGACAATCATGGCTCCACTGGCTGTGGCAACTATCGAGCCAGCAGACCGCTTCTCTTGCTTTGATGTCTGTGATGGAGAGTTTTCTGTGTCTGCTGGCATCAATTTCCTCTTCCGAGATAATGCTGGACTTCCTGTTGCAGGGGTAGTTGGGGAATTTGACACATTTACAGTTTTATTCTGAGTTTTAGCAACAGTTGGTTTCTTCTTGTCTTTTACATTTTTGGACTCAGAAGATTTTACATCATCAGATGCCAGTTCAATAAAATTAGGCTGCGTTTCTTTCTTCACAGTGGTTGCCTTGTCCACAGTGCCAGACTCTCCATCCTCAACTGATTTCTTTTTGAGCTGCCTTTCTATTCTTTGAGCATTGATATCCTTAAGGTTTTGTTTAACCTGAGCTATCTTTTTCCCTAAGTATCCCAGTTTCTGAAATGACATTTGAAAGAAAGGATGTACGGTATACAGTTGATTCTTTCTGAGTTTATTCTTCTTTTTGCCTTGTTTGTCTGAAGCTGATGTGATGCTCTCGTCAAGTACAGATATGGCATCCTCTGAATTCTCTTTTGCGGAATCAACTACAATGCTATCATCATCTTCATCTTCAGCAACTGTGCTTTCTTTCTCTAAACCTACAGAGACTGCAGGGTCTTCAGTACTAATGTCATTTTCTGTCACTTTGTCTGCGTCTGCTAGTTCGGCTGCCTCCTCTACATTGCTGCTATCTGCTGCTCCTAGTTCCAAGCTTTCTGCTGCTTCTGGTTCCAAACCATCTACTGCTCCTGGTTCCAAATCATCGTTTTCCTCATCGCCCTCCAGCTGAAAAAATATAATTAAATGTTAGATCGTCAAATTACGTCAATTTAGGGAAATTTAACAAAAATTTCTCACATTCAACACCACGCAACCTCGGTGCCCTTTAAATGTAACAAGCAGCAAGTTTTTATTTGTATCAATGCATAGAAGGTTTCAGGACAGGGGTTGGCAACCTTTTTCCGTCCTCTGGCTCAATTCTTTTTCTTTGCGTTCACCTGCCGTAAACTCTGGCTGTTCAACCACCTCTATATTTTAGACTTGTTTCAGAACCCGAGTATTGCGTGCTGATTCGTTTTACAGATCTGTCTTATTTGTATGAAGACTGCTGGTTACAGGCCTCTCAGGCAGATGCACTCTGACTTTGAAGGAAGCCCCCAATTAGTAGATTCTTACGACAGGCTGGCTGGGAAGGCAGTGGGTCTATTCTTGTTTTCCCCACAACGGGTAGCAGAACCCACAGGGGAAGAGCCCAATTTAGAATGCTGATATATGGATGTTTTTTTTCTTTCTGAATATGAGTGCATGTTTTTGTGTTCTGCAATTTTGTGAGCTCAAGGGCCAGATTATATAGTAAATTGATACCAGCCTTGCTGGCCAGTAAAAACTGCTTGGTGGGCCAGTTTTGTCTGTAGGGTATGGTTTGCCTACCGCTGATGCAAACTGAGAATGGAAAGTGAGAAGCAACAACGCACATAATCCATTTTAAATGATGCAAGTCACTCTACCCGTCAGTCATTAAATGATGTAAGCCACTCTACCTAACAGTCATTAAATGATGCAAGCCACTCTACCCGTCAGTCATTAAATGATGCAAGCCACTCTACCCGTCAGTCATTAAATGATGCAAGCCACTCTACCCGTCAGTCATTAAATGATGCAAGCCACTCTACCCGACAGTCATTAAATGATGCAAGCCACTCTACCCGTCAGTCATTAAATGATGCAAGCCACTCTACCTGTCAGTCATTAAATGATGCAAGCCACTCTAGCCACTCTACCCCGCAAGCCACAGTCATTAAATGATGCAAGCCACTCTACCCGTCAGTCATTAAATGATGCAAGCTACACTACCCGTCAGTCATTAAATGATGCAAGCCACTCTACCCATCAGTCATTAAATGATGCAAGCCACTCTACCCGTCAGTCATTAAATGATGCAAGCCACTCTACCCATCAGTCATTAAATGATGTAAACCACTCTACCCGTCAGTCATTAAATGATGCAAGCCACTCTACCCGTCAGTCATTAAATGATGCAAGCCACTCTACCCGTCAGTCATTAAATGATGCAAGCCCGTCAGTCATTAAATGATGTAAGCCACTCTACCCGTCAGTCATTAAATGATGCAAGCCACTCTACCCCTCAGTCATTAAATGATGCAAGCCACTCTACCCGTCAGTCATTAAATGATGCAAGCCACTCTACCCGTCAGTCATTAAATGATGCAAGCCACTCTACCCGTCAGTCATTAAATGATGCAAGCCACTCTAGCCCTGTACAGTCAGTCATTAAATGATGCAAGCCACTCTACCCGTCAGTCATTAAATGATGCAAGCCACTCTACCCGTCAGTCATTAAATCATGCAAGCCACTCTACCCGTCAGTCATTAAATGATGCAAGCCACTCTACCCGTCAGTCATTAAATGATGCAAGCCACTCTACCTGTCAGTCACCAGCATGCTCTGTGAGCAGACCGTCGAGGAATATCATGAGATGAACTGATCCAGAACACCAAGGATGAAGATTTGTGGAGACACATTAACCTAAGGGCAGTGGGCAAGGCAGGTGATGATGATAAATTTGCAACAATCTTAGCAGCAGATAATATCTATTTTGCCATATTTCCTTAGCAACATTCAGAGGAAAGCAGACTACCACAGATACCACAGGAACTGGAAGTGTGCACCAGCTGCTGCAGTGGGGGACAGAGTGCCATGATATTTGGTTTTTAACTCGTTGGCAAAATGATGCAATAATCAACAAATGCCATCTACTAACCTCTGACTCCGGTGGGCGGACAAAATAAGGGATCTTTCCTCTCTGATAGTCGTTGAGCACATTTTTGGCAACAGTGCTGATGTCAGCCTCTCCCCCCTGTCAACAGACATCAGTGTCTTAGTGAACAATTATTTATATATGTTTGTATGAATGTATATATATATGTGTGAATGTCTCTCTCTCTCTATATATATATGTTTGTATGTGTATATATATGTGTGCCTGTGTGTGTGTATATATCTATATATGTATAAATATATATATGTTTGTATGTATGTACATGTGTATGTATGTGTTTGCATATATATATATATATATATGTTTGTATGTATATATATGTGTGCCTGTGTGTGTATATATATCTATGTATGTATAAATATATATATGTTTGTATGTATATATATGTGTGCCTGTGTGTGTGTATATATATCTATGTATGTATAAATATATATATGTTTGTATGTATATATATGTGTGCCTGTGTGTGTGTATATATATCTATGTATGTATAAATATATATATGTTTGTATGTATATATATGTGTGCCTGTGTGTGTGTATATATCTATGTATGTATAAATATATATATATGTTTGTATGTATATATATATGTGTGCCTGTGTGTGTATATATATCTATATATGTATAAATTTATATGTTTGTATGTATATATATGTGTGCCTGTGTGTGTGTATATATCTATATATGTATAAATATATATATGTTTGTATGTATATATATGTGTGCGTGTGTGTGTGTATATATCTATATATGTATAAATATATATATGTTTGTATGTATATATATGTGTGCCTGTGTGTGTGTATATATCTATATATGTATAAATATATATATGTTTGTATGTATGTACATGTGTATGTATGTGTTTGCATATATATATGTTTGTATGTATAGATGTGTCTGTATGTATGTATATAAGTGTATGTATGTATGTAGGTACAGAAAGATAGAGAGCATACTCAGAGGTTCCGAGAGAAGACCTCAGAAGATTGTTGGGGTTCACATGGGAAGATAAAATCAGCAATTCTAGATTACAACTAATGACAGACTTGGAAGATTTAAATTTAGAAATCAAAAAACGAAGATGGAGGTGGATTGAACACATCCTCAGAAGGGACTATGAACATACATTTAAAGGTAATTTCAACTGGCATTTACTGCTAACTGTGATTATTGCCTGAATTCACCATTTTGAGTGTGTAAGGAACTGATGTCACACATAACAACTGTACTCACTCTCAACAGCCGACCACACTTTCTGGCTACTTGTTCCAAGAAGTCCTCTGGGCTCTCCCAATTCTCAACTCCATATGTCTTGTGCACATACTCTTTCTTCACCCTGTCTAGCACTGCTTGAACGTAATCCTCGGGCTGATTTACTTTCTCAACTCGCACCTTAAATGAAAATGCCAAACAATGAAGCACACAATTTTGCAAACACACACATATTAATAAAAGTTTTATGATCTGTAATGACACAACCATTTACAGAGTGCCACAAGAATATTTACTGTTGAGATAATTTTTAAATGTTTCCATACACTATATCCATCAATAAAATGTTAATATGGCTTAACAAAAAAACAAAACAAACTCAGGCTAGAAAGCCACCACAATCAGCATACACAAATACATTTTGCGTACTATATAATAAAATAGATAATAATTAACAAAACAGTAACTTAAAGAAAACATGCAGATATATCTGTGCCATTCTCTTTCTGTGTACAGATGAAGGCTTTTTAGCTGAGCTACAACATCCATTTTTCCCTTGCAACTATGTTCCCTAAAACCAACCAGTTTTCTTTTCTTTTGTTGTTGGTTGAGTCATGTTTTCACAGATTTACAGCAGATTACTGCAATTTCATTTCCTACTAAATTAGTCCCAATTCAGTTTCAAATACCAATATTTAGGTTTTTCACAAATTAAACAAGCATGTACAAATCAAATATGCATATTTTTTCAAAAGCAATCCATATTTTTTATTTATTTTAGTTGAATGAAAGAATGGATACTCTAAAAGGGTTGAGAAATGGGGAATGTAGACACATCTAACATTATTCCCTTCTTGTCTCGCTCCTTTCATACATTATTCTATTTGAATATTTTAACTTAAGCCTTCTATTACTCTAACTAATGTTTCTTCATGTCTGTGGTCAGGCCAGAAATGCAGATCAATCTGCACTAGGTGGGTGATGTGGTCAACATCATGTCACCCGCCTTTACTTCCCAGGACTTCACCTGGTACCCATTTAAGGCTGGGTCAACCTGGGAGCCAAGGTCATTTTTCTTAAAACAAAAGTTCGGCTTCATCAGGACCTAAATCCACGACCTTCAGATCCCCAGGCAAGTGTCTAGCCATTACACCATAGAAGCCCTAATCTTTTTGGCACATTCCCTAAATCTTGGAATAAGATTTGACTGGCCAGATGAATATGGATAAATATTTTATGTAAAATACAATGGCGTGAGAATATTTCTAGTCACCCTGTTGCTGAAGAAAATATATGCTCTGAAATCAATCCCGTAATACATGTAGATGAACTTACCACCCCCTTCAAAACCATATCCACAGGTGTGGCCCCTACAGGATACACAATACCTGGACAGTCAATAAGGAATATGTTGGACATCAGCGTCACATACTGCCAGACCTGGAAAATATAATTTAAGAGAAAACATAAGTTTCAAGTTCTTTTTCAAGCCATACAATGAACAGGGAACATGTAGTGTCAGGATACGAGGTTGTCTCTGTCAGGATACGAGGTTGTCTCTGTCAGGATACGAGGTTGTCTCTGTCAGGATACGAGGTTGTGTCTGTTAGGATGGGAGGTTGTGTCTATTAGGATGGGAGGTTGTGTCTATTAGGATGGGAGGTTGTCTCTGTCAGGATGGGAGGTTGTGTCTATTAGGATGGGAGGTTGTCTCTGTCAGGATACGAGGTTGTGTCTGTCAGGATACGAGGTTGTGTCTGTTAGGATGGGAGGTTGTGTCTGTTAGGATGGGAGGTTGTCTCTGTCAGGATGGGAGGTTGTGTCTGTTAGGATGGGAGGTTGTGTCTGTTAGGATGGGAGGTTGTGTCTGTTAAGATGGGAGGTTGTGTCTGTTAGGATGGGAGGTTGTGTCTGTTAGGATGGGAGGTTGTGTCTATTAGGATGGGAGGTTGTGTCTGTTAGGATGGGAGGTTGTGTCTGTTAGGATGGGAGGTTGTCTCTGTCAGGATGGGAGGTTGTGTCTATTAGGATGGGAGGTTGTGTCTATTAGGATGGGAGGTTGTGTCTGTTAGGATGGGAGGTTGTGTCTGTTAGGATGGGAGGTTGTCTCTGTCAGGATGGGAGGTTGTGTCTGTCAGGATGGGAGGTTGTGTCTATTAGGATGGGAGGTTGTGTCTATTAGGATGGGAGGTTGTGTCTATTAGGATGGGAGGTTGTGTCTATTAGGATGGGAGGTTGTGTCTATTAGGATGGGAGGTTGCGTCTGTTAGGATGGGAGGTTGTGTCTGTCAGGATGGGAGGTTGTCTCTGTCAGGATGGGAGGTTGTGTCTGTTAGGATGGGAGGTTGTGTCTGTCAGAATGGGAGGAATTTCCTCATGTGGGTTCTGTGGCCTTATTTGAGGGTAGGCTGGAATAGACAAATTGCCCTTTACTAACAAACATGTCATAGGAGGCCACTATTTAGAGTCGTTGCTTTGGAAGTCAGAGTGCATCAGCCGGACAGGCAACGAACCAACAGTATCTATACAAAGGAGGTGGATCTGTAAAATGGACAAGCCCTCAAGTCTCAGGTTCTAAAAGTTCAGAAGTGAATGAACAGCCAAAAATTTCCAGCTGGTGAATGCTAAGGTGTGCTCAGGTGTTGGCTAGCTTCTTTTCAGAGAAATGAAAAGTAAAATTTAAGTAGCCTGTCAATGATCCATAGAGAGCATCCAGACCAACTTTACCTCCCAGTGGAGCATGCTGAAAAATTAAAGCCATGAGATTTCCGGCTAATGGGGCAATGGCTCGTCTGGAAGAAGACAGGCACCAGACAGGTCAGATTTGTTCCTGCAAGCCGGCAGTGGTGTAACTGAACTGCTACTACACAAGAAACATTGAAAACCAAACTGAATATGAGACTTTTCACAGCAAAACACCTGGGAGGAAGGCGAGGAGAAGACCAAGAAAGAAATAGATAAATGGTGTAGCTGAAACCTAAAAAATAAAAAGATGAACAAATCTATCACCCAAGCCACCAGAGAAGAACAGGACAAACACGGAAAACCACGACATTGGGCTGCAACCTGGTATCAGTGCGACGAGAAAAGAAGAAGAATGCTAAAAAGGTCTTTCCCCCATATTTTTCTCCTGCCACCAGTTGTCTGTCATATTTATGAAGCCCACCAACCTCCACTGATGCCCCTGACAAACTGTTTACATTCCCCAAAAAAATACAAATGCAGAGAAAGGTGTTTAACAATTCATTGAAATTTCTCCCCTTTTTAAACAATACCCCGATTTGATCCAATTGACTCTGGAAAAAAAAATACACACCAACGTCAGGTATGAACTTCAGACTACCCACTTAACTCTTTGAGTCCCAGGGGGTTTAGCATCAGAAGCCCAAGGGGTAGTCAGATAGATGTAAAATCGGAGCATCATGGGTTCATAGGGCCTCTAGGTAGGAACCTATGAACATATGATGCGTTCCTTGGGACTCAAAGAGTTAAGGGATTAAGTAGCTTTGACAGCCACATCAAGAAATATTGGTTAAAACAATAGGACACTGGCTCATTTGTTTAAATTTACCTTGGTCTCTCCTGGGATAGGAGCAACATTGCACACTTTCTTTGACTTCAGTGCATTGATAATAGAACTCTTCCCGACATTAGGATAGCCAATCAGGCCAATGCTGATTTGTTTTTTATCCTTGTGGAGCTGAAAGACAGAAATAAATACTTTAACTCAACATTAAATTCTTGCATGTTTTGGCTGAAAGTGAACAATTATGGCTTTCCATTAATGACCTAGGGTCTGCACATTCTACAAAAATTAAACATTAAGATCAGCCTAATATATATATATATATATATATATATATATATATATATATATATATATATATATACAGACATCTAAAGCATTAAACATCAGGAAATAAATATAAGACCACCTGTATGTATGTGTTGTGTGACAGACAGAGATAGATAGAGAGAGAGAGAAAGAGAGAGAGAGAGAGAGAGAGAGAGAAAGAATCTCTAGGTCCCTCTTTCCCCCTGTGCTATAAGGTACATAAATACAGGAGTATAAATTGTGAGTTTAATATACCTTTCCAAACTGACGAAGGAGGGAAATCAGATCTCCTTTACCAAAACAGTTAGTAATGCTGGCTCTGAATGCCAGTGTTGGGTGTTCTCTGGACAGGACCGCTACCCATTTTTTCTGTTAAGAAGAAAGATACATTGTTAGTGATTCATAAACTTGCAACTGTAAGTCCTGCTTGTTTCAACAAGTGACTTTTCAAACAACAGCCTCATAAAATGACTACCAGCAACTTGTTTGGAATGGGAAGAAAACAAATAATACCAATAGCCAGTATGTGTTAAGTCAGATGACTTCAATCCTCTACAGAAGTATCTACCACAAGGATACTGGAGATGATAGTAACCAACAGACAAGTACTGACTTGACAGTGGACCTGACTGACCGTTCATAATAACATAAAGACGGTGACAAGAAAGCATGACCAGCTGGGACTGCAGGTTTCATGAGGGACCCATGGGTGTAACGATGAGTGACTGAAACACAAGCGAGACGGTGAACGGTTTACAAGAGAGTTGCTGTAGGCACAAGGACAGGATAAGATGTGCTGTGTTTTGCAACAGTTAATTGAGGACAGTGTGTTTTGTTTGTGACAATGTCCTATTCTGATGGTATTCTGTTTTAGTATGAACAGGTAGCCTAATGTCATGTGTTGTGTAGAAACAGTCCTATATGATAAATGATGTTTGTTAAAAGTACCTTCACTCGATTCTTTATCTGTATAGTTTGCAATGGACTTTTCACAGTGAAGAATTAATAGAGTAACAGAAAGTGTATTGATCGGCACTCATAGAAAGGAGTAGAAAGATAGAAGAACACACTAGACAACATAAAAATCGAAAGCTATAGTCACCTCCAGACGGCGTCTGCGCCTCACCATGAAAACAAGTGCACTAAGATACATGGTCAACTAGGCACCCCCCTAAAAAAGGCGTCTTATTGGCCATGTCTATCGCACAGCTTGAAATCCACAACTATGTAATACGGACAGAATTCATTTCAACCCATTGAAATGGCACCATAGGTTACAGAAATTTTTATTAGCGAAGCAAATGTCGAATAACAATCACAGCAACAATTTACGAACACTGTAAGACCTTATTGCTTTGTCTAGAATACACAAACATTTAAGAAAGGTATTTGATTTGTAGGTTCCGGTGTGTGTACGTCATTCCTATAAATAAACAGAGGGGGAACCTTTGAGGCCGTTAAATATTATGAATTAATCGAGTAACAGAAAATGTATGCTAAGGCCATATTTCCTGTGATTTAACAGCTCACTTGGGCAAAATTCATTTATCCAGAGAAATATCTAGTGAAAATTTTACAAGGCTTGGTTGGGTCATGAGTCCAGGTTCTGCACGACTGTGGTGTCACCCCTCCACTGACTTAGTTTCTGGCTGGCTAGCACTCCCTGGTGTGGTTAGCCGCTACATGCTGCGGGATTTACTGAGGAGGGATCCCAGGCACTTATGGACTGAATGGTGTGGCGTGCAATGAGGATAATCTGTTGACTAACTGTTTAACAATACAACAGTTTCCATAAATAAAATGTACAAGAGTAATCATAAACATGCAAAGTAAGCAAAGTACAATGACTACTACGATGTGAGTATCTATGAAAGATCTATTTACATACAAACCTTATAGAGCTCATTCCAGATTCTTTTAGAGGTTCCTGCCTTAAACACAATTTCAAGCTGTCCATCTTTGACCCCTTCCTCTGTTGGCACCAGCTGACTTTGAGCTTCTTCATACTTGAGAAGGGATGACTCTGCATTCTTGACCATCTCCTGTAATTATGTTACACATAGGTTAGAAATATCTGACTCAAGAAACAGCCACAACGTTATCTGACTCATGAAACAGCCACAAAATTAACTGACTCCAGAAAGAGCCACAACATTTTCTGATGCATGAGTGCAGTGAAGGTTGTAGGCCTGTTTCACATACAGACACGTAATTCAGTTTATGAGAAGGAGGGATGCCTGGAACTACAGAGTTGAGGGGTGGGGGCTGTAAAGATCTCTGAAAGGTGCTAGTTCAGCGGTTTGTAACTTAACTAATGAGAAAAAGAAAATGAATATTCATAATGTGACACATTGTAAAGAAAATAAATATTCAAAATGTGACACATAAAAAAAATGAATATTCCTAATGTGACACATTATTAGATAGTGGAACTTACATCGAGGTCGTAGGTAGCCAGTGTTGGTTTCTTTCTGGTTGCCTTTTTGCCAAACACCTGTTCAAAAGGTTCTCTGTCTAGCAGCCGTATTACTGTCTCCTAGAAAATACATCATGCATAAATATTGATTTACAAGCAGTTTAAATGGGTGAGACAGAAAATTAATCCTTTTACCCGGAATCTTGTCTACAGTGATCTGTTTTATTTAATGCATAATTGATGATACTGGCTGTTTTTGTGCCTGCACAAATGTTAAGGAGGTAAGGATATGAATACATTAAGTACAAATATCATTTAAAGAGGAATAGTATTTTTACAGCCAAGTAAATGTTTAATATTCCCCTACACGTCAATGACAAAATTGTTTTAATTGATTTTTTTAAAAAGAAATTCTGATGACTGTTTTTTTTTAGTTTGAGAGGGTTAAGAAACAGTATTTAAAGTTTTAGCATGTGACACTATACAGTATTTAAAGATTTCACACGTGAATCTGACTTCACGTTTAAAAGGCAAACAATGGCATGTTTCATGACATTGTTTGGCTTAAAGTGTCTCTGAAAGTAAGATGTGTATTTGCCTAGCGCAGCTTCAACGCACCATGTTGAAGAAAAAGATTAACAGACCCAATGCCCCCAACAAACATGCTGTGAAAATCAACTTATCTGGAGGCTGCTTAAATCAGAAGTGTTGGGCCAAAAGGTGCAGAAATCGCAGCTTAGCTGTAAACTACAACATAATGTGCCAAACACCCTTTCTGAGGGCAAATGCAGAAGTCATGAGTGCCACTTAGTTTTCAGGCATTTTGTATTTTCCAAACGCGGGGAGAAAAAAATAACACACTGCTCCATAATAACATGTCGTACAAGGCAACTAATAAGGGGTATTTAATTCAGAGTCGTAATGTATCTACGTTAGGCGATGCACCAACAGCCTGCACAGACATAAGCCAGACCTGTAAAATAGATGTGTTCATGCAAAACTCATGCAGGGTGAGTTATTAGGAGAAGTTTCCTCTAAAGTCATAGCAAATCTGCTTGAGAGTTGAGGAACCAACAATCTGCATACAAATACTCCAGATCTGTAAAACGCCCAGAAATAAATGAATAACCAGAACTTCCCACCGGAGTTTACAGCCAGTGAATGCTAGGAAGAAGAATTCTATGTATAATACTGGATAAGAAGTAGAGAAACTTACTGCTTTGGGTGTGAAGCTCAGCAGCGTGACTGGGTTCTTTGTAGAGGTCATCACAACCTTATAGGGATCAGCTTTAGCTTTGCCCAGTGCTTCAGTGAAGGCCTGCAGCGCCTTCTGGCCAACAACTCTTGTATTTCCTATGTGCAGAGGAGAAATGTAAAAAAGAAAACAATGCAAAAGGTTAGAAAACATTTCTAATTCTAAATCAACTTTCTGCACAAAAATCTTTTCTTTTAAAGCCATGATAGAAGAGCATGACTACTCCAAGAGATGAAAGTAGCACTTCTGCCACTAGTATGAATAACCACATCAGAAGCGGTGCGGGAAAGACAGCATCCTGAAATTCTGCAGCCATACTGGGCTTCGTCAAATACTAGGAAAGTTAATCCAAAAGAAATGCCTGTTATAATTGAATGCACTGAGTTACAGACTTGACACAAAATCGTGATGAAACACTTTATGCTGGTGTTAAATACTTAGGAAATCTGATTTTTCCCCCATCTCCAAACCCCATAAAGCAGTATGGATAAACCTGCTGACCTGAGAAGACTCGATTCAGTTCCGGCTGTGACATATTCCTGATATTGTCAATATATAGCAATGTCTGCAGTGACCTCTTCTTGAAAAGCTTAGTTAAATTCAAGTGATTATATGTGCATTTACAGTGTTTAATAGGCCAGGATATAAATATAGTGACTAAAAACGCAGAGGGAAAAAGGGGGTGGGGCTCTCCTTAGGATCCCAATGACTTTTTAAAAACCAAAGTTTATTTCATATTTGCCAAAACCCTCAATGATAGAGGTCACAGAGTTAGGGTAATGAGTCACCTAATACATAGTTTTTCTTTTTTAGGGCCAGGGAAAGTATTCCATTTAATGCTTCACTTTGTTCATGCTTAATAACTACTACTTCACATATCTGTGTGTGTGTGTGTGTGTGTGTATATATATATATGTGTGTTACAAAAATAAAACTTAAAACGCAGATGAAGTTTTTTTTAAACAATGTGATCTGTGCAACATTTTTTTAAAGGATATTCCCCCCGAAATTTGCATGGATTCATAGTACACTTTTTTAGCACCCACAGGGGAAAAGGATTAACAAAACCATCACGAAACAGGCACCATATGTTTTTCTGGGAAGAAAAGAAAGTTTGACTACAACCCATTATAGTGGCCAAACATTTGTCAGAGTCTACTACCAAGGCTGCAGTATTTAGTTTATAATTATTTTTGCCGAACTGAAATATCTTCATCAAACTTAGCCTCTCCATTGTGGTTCCGGGGCCCTATTGTGTGGAAAATAAGAACAGACCCACTGCCTAACCAAAAGAGTCGACTAACAGGGAGCAAGGAGGCAATGAACCAGCAGTCTGCATATAAATGAGTCAGATCTGTAAAACTGATGTGCACTCAACACTCAGGCTGTGGAACAGGACTTGAGTCCAGAAGCAGACAAACAACCAGAACTTTCCACTGGAGTTTACAGCCTGTGAATGCAAAGAAGAAATGTAGCCTGCTACTAAAGAACACTTAAGTTTGATCTGAAAGGGCCATAATTAATAATAAGAATAAAAGTTTCATATTTATCAAAGCAATAAATTACAATTATCTTTAGAGCAACACTTAAAATGTTTCTATAAACATATAAAGTTTGATACAGATACATACAAATAAAGATTTCTTACCAAACCATTTTCTGTTAGGCTCTACTCTTGCCATGGTGCCAGATTTAAGAGTAGATTGGAAGGGAGCTGCCTTGGTAATTCTGCCAGTTTTGTCCCTATGAACAAGAAACAACAGTATATTTAAAAACAAAGTATAACCATGTTACCACAACCCTTGGGGGAAGCAAAGAATCATAACACTGCACACTTGCGTACATACCATAAGTGGCAACTAAGGGTAGGGTTGGGCTTGAGGTTGACCTGTAAAACACTACAGCCATTAAATATGGCGAGCATGCAAAACTCATGTTCTGGAGCCAGAGAATACTAAGAAGAACAAGTCTACTTTCTTATAAAATAATCCGAAATTTATTTTTTTAAAGACTGAACATATCAGGGTCAAAAGCCTTTTAAGACTGCATTAAACACCAAACACATTCTTACAACATTATCGGACCAAGAAGGAAAGACATTTTTCTAAAAAAAAAAATGAAAAGTAACAATTCTCAATAAAAAGTAAGGTAACATCCACAACAATAAGTGATGATTCATGCTTTACCATATATAAATAAATAATGGACCCTATTCCACGCCTTTAGGCACATAGGGCTAGTCTAGACCTATATTTTACAGGCCCTTGGTGGGTCTTCTTCTTCTCCACTTCCTCTTTTACCGCTGTGGGTGTCGAGGGAGATATAAGGTTCTGTTTCTAGCTCTTCTGGCTGCCTCGACCATAGGCACATCGTGCTGTTGTAGAGTTTCTCTGATGTTATCCTTCTATCTTGTTCTTGGTCTACCCCGTGCTCTACGTCCTTCTTCTCTTTCCATGTATGCTTTGTATGGTATGGTGGGTGATGTGATCAAAATCACGCTCACTGCCTTTACTTCCCAGGACTTTTACCTGGAACCCACTCAAGGCTGGTCAACCTGGGAGCCAAGGTCATGTCTGGAAAAAGGTCAGGCTCCAGAACCTATGACCTTTCGATCCACAAGCAATACCATACACAAACGGTGAAATAATTACGACATAATAGTATGCTGTTTTATCTCTTCATCTATAAATTCTAGTGGCGATTTATTGTTCTTTCACTTCTGGGTATTAGGCTTCCTGTGTTTTGTTAGGGAGTGGAGGGAGGGGTTCATTTTTGAGTTTTGCATGCACATCGGTTTTGCAGACCTGATGTGTGTATGCAGACTGATAGTTTGTTGCCTCTCAAGCAGTTGCCCGTTGACTTCGAAGGAAACCTGTCTACATGACTGCCTTTTACAACATGCTTGTTAGGGGGCAGTGGGTTTACCCCGCTCCCACCCCAATTAGAACCCAGAAACCATATGGGGATGCTGCCTTATTGATCATAAAAGCACATAATATGCAAATTTAGAAAGTTACACATACAACTTTTAACAATCATCAGTTGTTGGATTCAAATTCTGAGTGATATTCAAACAAAAAAAAAAAACAATACTGACCTCTTTGGCTTGAAGTTGCGATACATCTGCAAGCGCTTAATTGTTGTCCGGTCACGCATGTTTGCAGATGTTTTTGGCCGATCTGCAATTTAAGTTTGATAGCAATGATTCAATCTACAATGTTTTGACAGCTTAACAAAAATACTGTAAAACTGCATGAAAAATGTCAGCACTTGTGGCTGAAGGGGTGTGAAAGCTGAAAGCAGTTTTACAATCTCAACATTCCTGAATTCGAGGTCAGCTGCAGCAATCTGGTAAATTACTTTTTTTTTTTTTTAAATTTGACAATGGTACAAGAAAATAACAAGAGGACGAAAATGGCTGTTTACCGCTCTACCTAAGTACCAGTCCTGACCTATGGGAAGCTAGCTTCAGGCCTCAAAACGAGATATCTGAGAAAGATGGTCCAAGTGACACAAAGGGACAAAGACAATACATCAGGATCTTGAAACCCAGGCCTTACAAACCTGAGTGGATCAGTCATAGTTAAGATGGTTTGGACATGTATGCAGAATGGGAGAAAATCGGCCATCATGAGAGGCTAAGAACCAGGGAACCAGACCTCCCGGGGACCCAGTGTCAGCTGGGAAGACATATCCGACAATCCCTGACTGACAGAGGACTAGAATGGAGTAAAGCCAGAAAGAAAACTGCTGACAGAGAAGTCTGGCAATCTCTCTGGCAAACCTCTACACCCCAAGGTAGAAGAGGAGCGACTAAGTACAAGGAAATAATCAAACCACTAGATAAATTAAATGACTGAAAAGATCTATGGATAATACAGAATATGTAGTGGCAGCAAATCAGCTATGAGAATTAACAAACATTTAGGGACATTTCAGAGGTGTACAACAAAGTTGTGCACTATTATCTGATTTGTTTTCATTATACAGTGAATTCATAATGAGATTTATCATGGATATGCCAGGAATTGTGGTTGATGGTCATAAAATAAACAACTCATGTTATGAAGATGACACTGTATTCGTTGATACCAATCAGAAAGGGCTATGGTGAATGATAGATAAGCTGGTGGTAAAAAGTGACAAAATGAGCATTAGCTTAAATAATGGGAAGACAGAAGTAATGGTATTATCAAAGAAAATAACAGTGCTTAAATGTATAATACCAAGTCAAAGATTTTATATAAGAACAAGTGCAGAAATGTAAGTATCTAGGCACATGGATAAATCTGATGGAAGATGTATCACAAAAAACATGTTTAAAAAAAAATATAGGACAGGCTAAAACTGTCACTGGGTGTTAGAAAATGAATTATCGCATGCTATGTACTATATAAAGCCAGTTCAACCTATCGCTGTGAACTTTGGACAATTAATAAACAGGCCAAACAATTTCTTGAGGTATCGGAGATGTGGTTTTTTTTTTTAAACATAAGAATTCTTAGAATTTCTTGGACAGCCAAAACGAGCAACCCAAATGTTTTGGAAGAGGCAAAGACAATTTTGTTACAAATATCATAAAGTTCGCTATGAACTCCCAGGCACTTCGTTTCCTCTCAGCATCGAACCATCTGTATAGATAATCAGATCACCTGGGCGTGAATTAACTGTTGGATTTAAACCTCCGTAGCACCGCTGGCCACTCTCTGCACACCCAACCAAATGTCATCATAACCCTACACAGGTCAGACTCTGACCCACTCCTCTCCTCGCCCAATGTTCTCCAGCATGCATACTTGTCTTATTGTGTCTTCTGCTTGAGCCATCCACGATTTTCTTTTTTTTTCAGTCTCTGACCCTTGCTTGCAGCCAAAGCTTCATAGAGAGGTGTTCTTTGTCTGCAGCTACTCTGAGGTATGACTTAGCCTACAGCACCTTTAGCCTATCTGCAATAGTCGGCAATGCGAGGATGTATCGAATGCACACAGTCAGGGTGTCTCTTGTACAACCCAGGATCAGCCGCATAGCTTCATTCTGTATGCGCTCAGTTTCTCTAGCTGACTCTTCGAGACAGTGAGTAACCCAAATCCATGATCAATCACTGAAATGATTAAGTGCTGGTAAAGTGTAAACATCCTTCTTTGCTCCTTGTCCATCGCTGCCATAATCTTTAGTGCATTTTGACCCTTTTGAGCCCTTGTCACAACTCCCTCTATGTGATCTCTGAAAGACAAACTTCTGTCAAAGGTGTTCCCAGGTACTGCAGTCTGCTGTTTCTTTTGATGTCCCTGCCATTTATTTTGAATCTGGGAACATCAGCTCTAACAATCATGTTGTCCAAAGAACACCACAGGACAGTTGCCTTTTCTGGGTTGAATACAGCACTCATCTCTGTACACCAGTCGATCACCTTATCTACTGTTGCCTGTAACTCTTCAGCTATTTGATTCTGACCTCTCCCCTTCCCATATACAAGAACATAATCTGCAAATGTCAATATTCTGCCAACTCCAGGTGTTTCCAGGCAGGCAATCCTGCTCATAAAAACATTAAATAGTACAGATGAAATTGCAGATCCCTGTGGCAGTCCTGGAGCTATAATACATGGTTCAAAGGTCCATGAACCCAGGCGGAGAGCTACCCGGTGAGTATACAAAATGGCTGCTATCCAATTGACCAATCAAGGACAGACTCCCTTCTCCGTTAGCGCTTTCATCAAGATACTGTATCCGACTCTATTATAAGCGTCTTCTAAATCGAGTGCTGCTGCCACCGTTTCCTGTCTGTTCTGGAAACCTACAAAGGTATCAAAGGCAAAAATGGCTGCATTTGACTATGTGTCCTTTCCCGGCTGGTAACTTCCCAATCCCCGTGAAAGGAAATTTCTTGGCTATCCTCCGAATAATGGTCCCAAATTATCGAGGCCATAAATATACCCTAACAGGGCCTCAGTCACATGTCGGCTATCCTCCGAATAACAGTCCTAAATTATCGAGGCATAAAATATACCCTAACAGGGCCTCAGTCATGTGTCCAGTCACGTGTGAACTGCGCACTTCCGTAGTCTTCTGCCACCACCGAGAGTATCCCCCACGCAGTGTGGATTGGGGCTAAACTAGATGGCTGGGACTCACGAGCAGCAGCTACCGCATCTCCTGCAGCTTCCTTCATTTTAATAGCTCATGAGTCTTAGCCATCTAGTTTAGCCCCAATGCACCCCGCACGAGGAACACTCGGCGGCGGCGAAAGTTGCTGGAAGTTCGCAATTGACACGTGACTGAGGCCCTGTTAGGGTATATTTTCCGACTCAATAATTTAGAACTGTTTTTCGGAGGACAGCCCACTGGTCAATTGCAGACTTCCGTCGACTTAAATTGCGCACTTCCGGGGTGGGGCGTGGCGTGGGGCTAAACTAGATGGCTTGGACTCACGAGCAGCAGCTACCGCATCTCCTGCAGAATCCTTCATTTTATTTGCTTGTGAGTCCCAGCCATCTAGTTTAGGCCCAATCCACGCCGCGTGGGAGATACTCTCGGCAGTGGCGGTATAGTCCCCGGATGTCCACAATTGACATGTGACTGAGGCCCTGTTAGGGTATATTTTCGGCCTCGATAATTTCGGACCGTTATTTGGAGGATAGCCGATTTCTCTGTTGTAGCTTACCTGCCACTATCTTCCCCAGCATTTTACCAAAGGTGTTTTTTGTAGGGTTATGGTTATGGTAGCCGCCGGGTGGTGAATGATTCTTGCCAGGCTTAGGAAGTGGAATCAGGTAGTAGTGCATCCATTCTTCTGGGACTGAAGAAGCTGTCCTAATCACCTAATCGGTAATACACTGGTTGAAGCAACACATGTTTGCATCACTCATTTCATTATTAGTCATTACTCATGTCTTTCATGTGAGAATGTCTGGCTCTCCTTTAAATAACGGTCGCTAGCTGGAAGGCGACGGCCGCTTAGTGATAGTCGGAGTTCATTTCCCTGGCTGCAGTGCAATTAAGGAATGGAAAACAGGGAACGAAACAAATGATATAGTTACCTGTCATCCTAGGGTTAGGCTTAGGGTTTGGGTTAGGATTTGGGGTAGGGTTAGGTTAGGGTTTGCGGTAGGTTTAGGGTAAGGGTAACACATCACGGAAACGACGGAAGCCACGTCGGGCCCAGGTGCAGCGTCTTTCGCCCTATTTAGTTTTACATCTTCTACCTGTATGACACAGTATATGATGTCTTCATAAACAGTGCGAGAGTGTTGTTGAAACTTGTTGGAGGAGGTTCATTTTGTGGCTCTTCTGGCAAGTGCAACGGGTAACATTCATGTTTGTGGACACATGACACAGTTGATTCCTGACAGTTACATAATAATTTTACAACAATAACATTTCTTATTTATATATTAGTATACATACCTGGATTCATGCTATGACCGGCTTTATTCACAGTATCCCTTGGCTTATTATTAGTTTTAGCCATTTTGCAAGCGTGTCACAGGTTGCAACTTTCCGGAAGTTATGACTTTGCGTAGTCCGTTTGTTTATGACAGAGAGAGGCAACATTTTAATATTTTCATTCGAATATTAAAAACTTTAAACAATATTTACGACACAATCTTACGACTGGATTTTACTATAATATATTATTAATATTATTAATGTTTGTGACACGAACATTCTTCTTTACTTTATACCTTTAAAAGAGTATAGGCCACCAACAAACTCGAGTCAAGTCGTCAAATCCTTTGCTATTACTTTGTAACTCACCCCATCTTCTGATCATTTTTTTTCTTGAAACCAACCACGAACATGACACCAATGCAACCCCACTAACATATTACATAACCACCCGATCTTTACCATGCGGTGAATGCTGGAATATAGTTTGGTGAAATAGTTTATAGCTAAGTGAAAACGCTAACTAACTTCAAATACAAAAAATTTACTGAAATGTGGGAACTCGATAATTAATAAAATGACTGACGTATATGCATAATTGAAACGAACATAGATTGAAAAAGAGGGGGGGGGGGCGCTCAGATTAAACACATCGTGAGCCCACATGACTGACGTAATATGCATAATTAAAGATTGAAAAAGAGGGGGGGGGCGGGCGCTCAAATTTAACAAAGTGACCATAGAGCGAGTGGTGAGAGGTGACTAATGAGGGCTGCCCTGAGACTGATCACACCAGAAAACTTCAGGAAAAAATTCAACCGGTAAGAAAAGAAGTCCACAAAAGACCAGGGGTAAGTTGACTGAGAGCTTTTAAATGCCCCGTTGAGGCAAAAATTAGAAATGTAAATACATTTAATTAGTGGTATAGTTTCAGGAATGTAATAAAACAAAAATTTTAAAGGGGGTACATGTATTTTAAGTTCACTGTTGCTAGCATTCTCATCACAAACAGCTAATTTAATTGCGCCACTTCAACTTTATTGTTAATAAAACCATAAACGAGTAATTTTATCAAGTTTACAGAAACCAAAAGAAATGAATTTTCTTTGTTTGAAATATGCTTCCATGTTACTTTCAACATTCTTATAATTCTTTTTTATTTTGACCTGAAAGGTATTTTTTTTTTCCAAAGACATAAAGATCAGGTTCCTTGATTTCAGATTCAGAAGCAGTTAGGCTTCAGAATTATCGACATCATCTTCATTGTATAAACAAACACAACGGTAGAAGGTCCAAATGTTCCTGCAAAGCGAATCTACGAGATGACTACCCCTTGAAGGAGATCAGAAAGCTTTAAGGACATGCGAACTATGGTCATGATCGTGTTGATAAACACAGGCCGTAACCTCGTGGTCGTGGTAACGCAGGGGGAGGGGGAAAGGGGGTCAGCATCGCCACAGAATCAACTTCGACAAAAACCGCATTGGCTACTTTGGTAAAGTTGGTGTGAGGTGATACCACAAGACCAACAACAAATGTCACTGCCCTTTCATCAGTTGGTGTGAGGTGATCCCACAAGACCAACAACAAATGTCACTGCCCTTTCATCAGTTGGTGTGAGGTGATACCACAAGACCAACAACAAATGTCACTGCCCTTTCATCAGTTGGTGTGAGTTTATACCACAAGACCAACAACAAATTTTACTGCCCTTTTATCAGTTGGTGTGAGGTGATACCACAGACCAACAACAAATGTCACTGCCCTTTCATCAGTTGGTGGTAGTGAATTGATGTAAGACACGCCAAATGTTGTGAGGACCCTTTAGGAGCGAGTAAACAGCGTGAAAGCACAAATAGACCATTTCAGTCTGAGGATAATGGCGCTGCAAGGAGTTATCCGGGGATCTGGCAGACGCTTAACACTAAATGGAAAGGCGCGACAGATATACAATCAGACAGGTACTGGTGCTATCGGAAATGGAACTCTTCCTTTGCTGCCGAAGATGGAGACGAAGCGCTTATGGGAGTGACCCGAGTGCTGTGATGTCTTTTCTTAATACAATATTCAGTGTGGACAAACTGTGGTCACTGTTGAAGTCGGCCGTATCGGTCGTCGTAGTCGAGGTTTCATCTTCACTGCAATCGGGTCACCAGATACTTGCTCCATTATAGTGTCAGCGAAAATCAAATGAAATGTCTCTAACTGTCCTATTTGAAAAGAGTCCTGGCACAATCCAGAAATATACACACGCAGTCAATGCATATTACAGTTGCTACAGACGCCGACGCCAACAGTCACTGTTGAGTGAATAGTCTAAGACGCTACATCTAGCCCAGCAGTACGGGAAGTTCCAGTCACTGAGATTTAGTGGGATAGTTATTACAAGTTTTAGGCGAGGGTCATCTATTCAAAAGGCCTGTGACTGTCGAAGCCAAGATTTTCAGCAAAATTGCCAAGAGGAATGAATGATTGAATAAGTGAGTGAATGAATGAATGAATGAATGAATGAATTGACATCACTGCACCCGGGACATTCTTACACGTGCTACGTGTCGTTCTCCAGTAACCAACGAAGGGTTGGCATTCTAATAGTACCAACTGCAACCCGACTTAAGAGTCCACCTCTGTTCTCCCTTCAGTGTTGAATTTCTTCCATAACCTCTCCTATCGTTTTTTTTTTTTTTTTTTTGCGCTGTCTATTTAATCTTTTTCTCTATGTCATTCTCTATTAATATCAATTTAAATATTCTTCTTTGCGACCGTACTCTTATGTTTATACAAGAGCTCAAACAAGATTGTTAATTGTATTTCCTTGGTTTGTCTACGTCTGCTGCTTAGGCGTTGCGAACGCGCTTCTTATTGCAAGGGTACCGGGTTCGATGCCAGCGGCAGACGGATTCTCCTGCGTTGGTTTCGACAGTGGTACCAAGAAGTGACTGTTTAGAAGCAGTGGCAAACTACCGTAAGTAAATTTTGCTTAGAAAAAACACAGGCAAAAAATGACGGGGTTGGTTCTGCAACGTCCTGTAAGGGATACGCAATTAACCTTTTTCCTTGATGAATGCTCGCTCAGTTGACACTCCATTGTTCCGTATGTTAATCTTGTGGTTACCTGTATCAGAAGGAGACACTTTACATGATTTGGTCACAAAGTGAGAAAGAGAAAGCTGTGGTACCTGCTGACAACAGCAAAGTTGGAGGAGAAAAAAAGTTCAAGAGCAAGAGAGAAGATGCTCAGCAGTTTGGCATTGTAGCATAAAAGAAAACCTGTCTCAGGAATTGTTTAAAGTACATGAGATAGAAAGCCGTGGACAGACACGACTATCAACGTAATGTGGCATTGGTGAGGCGACCATCCGTCCCGTATTCATCGGAAGTCCCGTTTTTTTTTAGAAACCGTGTCTCGGTGGTCCCGTCGGTCGCCCACCGCCACCCCCCCCCCCCCAAAAAAAAAACACCCCGCCTATTGCCCCATTTTAATAAATCTAGGAATAAGCTTGAGAGTATTAACTAATAATTAGTCCTCCAAACCTGCTGCATTGAACTGCGTGCTCTGTTTTCTAAACTACATTTTCACTTCATATTCAACTTCTACGTCATTCGCAAAATGTCTTCCGCCAAGGTGGGTTTTCATTGGACCAAAAAAGATGGAAATCGCTAGGGGCTAAGTCGGGGCTGTAAGGTGGATGTTCCATAAACCCCCCCCCCCCCCAGATGGTTAATTACCTCCTGAGTTAACCGTATGTGGTCTGGCATTGTCAAGAAGGAGCCTTATCCCTCTAACCAGGAGGCCTGGACGTTTTCTTCGAACTGCATCACGAAGCATCGATAGAACTTTATCGGATGAATCAGCATTTACATTGTCACCTCATTTTTTTGAAATTGGTTAAAAGCACTCCTTGACGATCCCAGAACATTCAGTATAACCTTCCCTGCTGATTTCATTGCCTTGCATTTTGGAACACAAGGCAAAAAGGGATGTTTCCATTGCACTGAAGCACGCTTTGATTTAGGCTATTAATGATGCACCCATATTCGTCCCCAGTAATAATCCTGTTCAGAATGTCTTCTCCTTCATCTGCGCATCGACACACATGCTGCTAGGACAGGCCATAATTTCTCTTGGTCTGCCTCTTCTACCAGTGATCTTTCCAGTCGTCACGACATTTTCCAGTGCTCCTTTTCTCATTACATGACCAAAGAACTTTGTCTTCTTCTCATTGTTGTCTATAGTGTTATAATTTCATTTTCATTTCAAGGGCATTCAATGCATTATGGATCATTAAAAACTCAACATGACAATCATTGAAAAAGTAACGAAAAATATTTATTTACTATTTTCATATGGAGAAGACTGGCTCATGAAGAGTACCGTTTCTCATCAGCTGAAATAAGCTGTGTATAGTTCATGTAGGAAGAGGCATAGGTCGACCAAGGCCCTGTCTAGTATCTAAGAATGTCTTGGGTCGACCAGCACGATGGTGAATACAAGATGTCGGAAACACTCTGGGCATGACAGGTCACGGTGCAGAAAGGTTGACGATGAACCGAATGGCCTTCTAGTGTCAGCGATATCCACGGCCGACTCTATTTATTCTGGAGAAGGCGGTGGCGACGTCTAAGAAAGAACATGCCGCATGACGAGTTCGCGTCTGTTGAATTACAGTTACTGCGACATCAAATGTTGTCGTTATCCTTAGGCGCCAGTTTCGATTTGTAACTGGAATCATCATGTTTATCATTTCCTTCTTCTTCTTCGCGTGTACAGGCTGTGAAATCCAGCAAAAAGTTATGGCTGTTCGTCCACCTCCAGACTCTACCCGTGTTACAGAACCTGAGTGTTGCGTGCACAACCGTTTTACAGATTTGGCTTATTTGTATGCAGACTGTTAGCTTCTCGCCTCTCATACAGTATACACTCTGACTTCGAAGGATGTCCCTAATTAGTCCACTCAAACGACATGTATTTTGGGAAGGCAGTGGGTCTATTCTTGTTTTCTTCACAATGGAAACCAGAACCCCTTTGTGGATTCACAGTAAAGTAAATGTCCCTTTTCTACGCCTTTTAGGTTTATTGGG